ATACTCGTGTTTTATATTCGAATAAAGATGATTCATCGTATTTACAATGTCTCTGTTGTTTTATAACACAAGTTATCATAGCTACCTAGAAAACATTTTATCAAAAGTAAAATAGAGAAAGAGATGATGGACGCACCACCACGTAATTGGCCTGAACTCGTTGGTAAAGACGGCAGAGAAGCTGTGGAAATCATTAAAAAAGATTCAGGTATGTTCTCTTAGACTAACATTTCTTTTCAGAACAGTTTCATTGAAATCAGGTCTGACCAATGTTCCAATTGTTGGCCCAGGCATGATGGTTACTATGGATTATCGAATAGATCGAGTCCGAGTACATGTCGATCAACAGGGCAAAGTCGCATCTCCACCAACTGTTGGCTGACAATATATTGAAATGACGTTTCATATGCACGAACCGTATTAATAAATAAATTCTTCTTAACTATGTTTCACCCTCACAACTTCAAGGCTTCTCTCATACATTTTTCTGTGTCTCTAGTAAGTTTACTCGTAGGCACTCTTATGTCTCGAAAAAAAAGCTAATATTTCATTGTCAATAATAATACTAATCAAAGGGTAAATATTCAAATAAATGTGAATAATCGCACTCGAGCGATACTTTTTTGCCGCACCTATAAAGATAGTTGCAATTGCACAGAGCATTTAAACAAAAACGAAATTGGCAAAGAGAATATGTTTGGCTCAGCATCCTCTGATTGGTCTCATCTCGTTGGTAGAGAGGGCAACGAAGCCGTCGAGATAATTAAGAAAGCAGGTTCGTTTTCAAAGAGAAAAGATTCACATCTGTAAATATCCTATTCTAACCAGGTTTTACCAATGTTCATATTATGGAGCCGGGTATGATGGGAACTATGGATTATCGAACGGATCGAGTTCGAGTCTATGTGAATGAACAAGGTAAAGTTGCATTCACACCGACCGTTGGTTAGATTCAACTCGAAGACTTAGAGTACTTCTATTTGGATTCTTAAGTATTACTTGAAAAACTCTTTTGTGTTCATGATCATTTATGCTTTTCATTTGTATCTTTACTAATCTAGTAGTTGCACTGTTGAAACTATTGTCTGTCATAGAATTCCAGCGTTATTGCTGACCAGAAAGCTTCTCCTTGACCACTTATGCATCACCCATATCGGTATTTAGGAGCAAAATGTTCACAATTATTAGAAAGAACATTGTATGTGAACTTCTTTCCAAGAGAACTTCGAGCACGCTGATCATTGTTTGTCCTTAAAATTATTAATTCGTGTCACACCATCATAACGAAATACAATAGCAACAGAATTTTGGATTATTTCTGCTCGAAAAGGGCCTAAGTTAGTCACTTCAACAAATTCATCATAGCCGATATAGAGAGCTCAATGTTCGTATCTCCGGAAAGTGCATACCTTGTTCGATCATTCATCACATCATATCAAAGCATGTCATTGGTATTTCAATAGGTCTCTGCTGGATATCGATCATTGGAGTTATCCAGAGTGAGTCGATTTAATTTTTCAGGAGAGTCACGGTTTAACAAATGCTCGTTTAGCTTTTATTATGATTTCTGTGTTCGGATTTATCGTAGTCGAAACAAATCGCAGTTGTATTTATCAAGTAATTTGATGAGATTTGTTCTTTATTTTTCAACAAAGGACATCACAATTGCTTTGGGATATATGTATATGCATATCTGAAGTTGAATGGGTTTAATGAATTCAAAGAAGAAATGAAATCGAAAAAATTGAGAAAAGATAAAATAATTTTCAGGCTTAATTTGTGTATAAAAATGTTTACTCTAAATATACGACTATAACTTTCTTTTTTGGACATTTGATTTTGTATAAACCATCATCGCGTTCCAATTTAGTTCCAACAGTTTCAATTTCAGCGGGCAGTGGAATATCTAATTTAAACTTTCCGAAAGGAATTTTTTGATGATGAACAACTGATTGTTGTAACTTTGTTTTTAGATCGTCTCTAGAACCTTCCAAAACAATAGCCTTTTCCATAACTTTAATTTTCACATTTTCTTTTTTAAAACCAGCAAGATCAATAATCACATAAATGTCATCATCGGTTTCATATAAATCGTAAAATGGTTGCCATTGCCCATGATCTATAGAACCGATTCCGATGAAATAACCGGCTTCATCATAGGCAAGGTTCGGTGAAAGAGTTAATTCGACAGGATTTAGTGAAAGATCTTCTAATTCTTGACGTTGAGACAGTACAATGTTTGTTTTTTTTGCGTTCAGTTGTACTTCGAATTTTTGTTGAGAACCCTCACCCTCACCCTTTTCAGTGATAAAGATTTGCGGCAGTTTTGTATTGATAAAATTGATCATTTCGCCAATAACGTTGAGATTTCGTCTTGTGTTGGTTGCTCCTTGTAAAATATTCATAATTCCATCGATACTTTGTTGATTCCAGATTTGAGCCGAAGGAGATCCAACTTTTGTCAAAACAAAATGTCGAAGTTTGATTCCGTTGTTTTCTGAACGGAAAAATTCCACTGATGATTGCTGGTTTCCCATTTGTAATTTCATCTTGTCTTTTATACTGTCGAAAAGTTGTTCAACTTCTTTTTGAATTACTTTATTTGCATCTTCAACTGTTTCCACATCCATTAAATTATGAACAATGATGATCTCTTTTTCCTGTTGGGATTTTTTAGCATGCTGTAATACCTGTTGAATGTATGTTTGATCAGTAGCTCGTAAGCGATTAACAACGATAATAATAAATGAAGATAAATGGAGAGCTACTTCTCTTAGAAGAGCTTCAGTTGCTTTCTTATCAGCAAGTTTATCTTTTGGGATAGCTGTGTCAGTGCCAGCGGTATCAATGAAAATGACATTTTCACCAGTTTTCTTTGGTATCGTGATTGAAATACCTTCGGTACTAATCAAATTTCCGCTAGGTAGTTTTGAAAGACAGAGTAAATTGAGCAAAAATGATTTGCCACGATTGTATGAACCAAGTACTCCAACAACTAAACCACGAGCATTGTCCGCTGTTGAATCTTGCAGTGAAGCGCTTCTCGCATTTTCACTGAGTAAAATGTCCCATCCTGATGTTTTTAATGCAAGAAGGCTATTCAAACGAACGACAATATCATATGGTGTATTTGGTGGCACTTTCTTAAATTTATCCCAAATTAATTTGCCACTACCGCCAGCTACTGCTAGCCCACCAAGAACAAATGGTAGTGCAGCCATACTAAATTCAAAGCTAAAATCTATATATGATATGACAATTATTAACGTACTGAACAAGTAATAATGGACTGTATAATATTCAACCAGAGTATATTTATGAGTCTTTTTATCGTAGATGATTGAATATATATATATACATTCAAAATGAAATATAGGTCGGAATATTCCAATAATCACGGACAACAAAAGCCTCGGACGAGGTGGATAGAAGGAAAGGGAAAAAACCTATCCTTTCAATTGGAGAAAAAAAAACAACATAAATAAAGCAAATCATAATTCTTAATCAAAAGTGAGTCATCTATGATATGATAAAAGATATGCGTATGAGTTAAAGGCCTGATAAAACATCCGTTGTTAGCATAGTTGAGAACAAAGCTAAACGTAATGCGCATATTGTATTCTTGAGCATGGTATATGATTCAATAGGCAGATTTAAAAAAAGACATTCTCTTCTATTTACTTTCAATAGAATTATTAAATGGTTTTTTTAGTAGAAGAAAGCGCAGAAGTCAGCAAAAACATTTGTCAACCTACTCAGCAGATAGATCGAAAGTTCTTCAAAATCAAATACGCGCTAATAGCATAACAAAACTCAGATAACGGTGAATATCGATTTAAAATATACAACAGTAAATTTAGAACACCAGATATTTAACTCTCTACTAGAGGAAAGATTAACTTCGTCTGAATATCTCTATAAATGATACATATGGAGCAACGAGAGATAGGCAAGTCATCGACTTTTCGACCCAAGTCAAGTGAAGTCATGTTTTGATTTGAGATATATCAAGTTCAGTCATTCACACTCTTGAAACATGGCAGAACAACTTTAAATCAATTGAGGCTAGTAATTCGTTTAATTTCATCAGATTTCATTTATTTACGAAGAGATTTATACGTTATGTATAGCTAAGAGTGAGAAAGATATGAACATATTCCTCCTTAGACGTCTTCAAGATTTGAATGAGGAAGGTTGTATTTGAAGTTATATGAAATACGTACGATATTTTGCTCGATCAAAACAATATCAGAATGTGAAGAGGATAGAACGTGTTGACGAATAATCTTTACTTTTTCATAATTATAATGATAAAGGTTCTTAAAAACCACCTCTATCATCATGAAAATGACTCATATTATTGAGTACGTGTATGGTAGCGGGATGTTGAGGTGGAAGAGATTTGTGAAAGATTTTCAGTGCTAATTGAAAATTTTCTAGTGCAAGATCATAGTGGCCAAGAGAATAATGAGCTTCTCCGATATTGTTGTGTGATTTACCCAAATCAGGATGATCAGCAGGAAGATGCTTTTCTAAAATAGTCAATCCTTGCTGATGACATTCAAGTGCTTCTAAATGTTTTTTCTCTAAATCATAAACAAGACCCATGTTTCCAAAGCCGTAGGCTACTTTTGGATGATCTTCTCCGAAAGCTTGCTTTACAATTGTCAATGCATTTTTGTACGATTCTAATGCTCGTTGGAAATCATTTTTCTTTCGATAAGCATTTCCAATAGCATAGCAAGTTTTTGCAATATTTGGGTGATCCGATCTCAATGTTTGTTGCATAATCTCAAGCGATTTGTGATGCCATTTTAGACTTGAATCATAGTCACCTTGCTCTTTAGCTACTCTTCCAAGTGCATGATAACATCTCTCAATATCTTCATGATCATCAGGTAATTCATTGAGTAGTCGATGATAATATTTATTTGCATCATCATATTTCCCCATATCACGAAGTACATGACCGAATGAAAGAAGATTTGTTTCTCCACCATCTGCTAATTCGTTTTTCATATGATCAAAAATTGTCTTTAAATCGTGATCGTTATCACTACAAAGACTCATTTGAATGATCCATACAACAGTTTCATTACAATATATATTATTAATTCGGAAGATTGATCCCAACATCATTAGTACTCAGTAATGAAATATTGGCAAATGGTTTTACACCTTGTCTTGTACAATCAGCATCGATTTCGAACAATACTTTTTGTAAATCATCATTAACAGTAGACTCACCAAGATAGAAAGTTGCCAATGAACGATTAATACTTGTCGAAAGAAATGAATTCATCGAAATAAGCTGCCCAATAGAATCTTTCAAGACTTGTAATTCTTTATTGGACATCAGTTGACCACGATAAAGTAGAAGGGATGTTAAGCATCGATGTTGATTAAGTTCTCGTTCGATATCACGAATAAAGAATCGAAAAAGAAAAAGCAAATCAATATTCTGTACACGAAGAGCTTTATTTAATAATCGATAGAGAAATGTTTCTTTTGTATACCACCACAATGATCGATCGGATGAGTAATTCTCTTCGAACTCCTGAACAATACCTAATTGAGTATTATTATCATAATATTCTTTTCGACATAATGATACGAGATCATTCTTATCAGTCGCACTCGATTTCATTCGAAGAAGAGAATCAATAAGTAATTGTGAATGAACAAATTCACCATTGAGTTTACCTGTCGATTGTCCATAATCAATATTCATATTAAAAATGTTAATTGAAATCGGTTCATCAACTTTATTTTGAACTCGTCGAATTTGTCCAGATTGAATCTGAGTAATTAGTTCATCCAATTGAACAATGATGCTTTTAATCTAAAACTACAGTCTCGAGTTATGAATATTTTTGTCAAATTTAGTACCTTGCTGAATGATTTAGTCCACTGTTGATATTCCTCTTGATCTTTACAATAGATAAATATCGAAACGATTTGACGAAATTGATGAATTCGTGGCACTAATTGTTGACCCAATGAATTATTAACAATCAAGACAGCTCGATCTTGTTGAGAAAGTGATTGAATATGTTGTTCACATTGATCAGTTTCTTTGAATACTGCCAAGTGATTGATTGATGATCGAAGTTTTACTTGTGCATCAATATTTTCCTTGCAATCAACCAACGAATCAAGCCAGAGAAGGGAATATGTCTCCAGATTGTTCTTTGACAACTTAGATGATGTTATCTCCTTTAATGAAAATAATTTATCAACAATAGCCATTTGTTCTAATATCAGATATATGCACAACAGCGACTTCTGATGTTTTTTGTTAGTTATTGGAAAGTATTGCTTTTGAGATTCAAGTAACTTATATTACGGATATTTTTCTGTTTGCCATGGAATTATTCATAGAGTCATTGTAATGCAGAAAATAGAAAAGCAAGAGTATTTTAGATATCGCATACAATTGATCCAGTATTCTTATCGTGATGATAAGGCGAAAATGCCATATTGTAGAGGTAAAACGGAAAAAAATATGTGAATAGAACCATGTGTAATAAAAATAGATAACAAAACGGTAAATATGTTATTAGGAGTAATCATGATGTATACTGACTTTTTTGTTTATGTCGTGAATTTAGCTTTGAGAATTTTGTGTTTGTATTTTGTCGCACACATATGTTTACAGATTTTGAATACATCGACGTGGTGAAAAATGGCTTTGAAAATATACGAAATGTCAAAAAAGTATGTCATTAGCGGAATTGGACAACCTCACAAGTGAACAAAGTTTAAGAAATAGCTACGTATAGATTAAAAACTGCTCGATGTGACAAAATTCCCTGCATAGATTAAGAAAAGGGCCAACTTTATTCTATTCATTACCTCAAAGACTACCAAACATATTTACGCTTATTACAGTACACATCATTGAAGATATTATGCATTTAACTAAAGAAAATTACAGAGAAGTTCTGCAATAAAATGATTTGTTAATTAGTTATTAATTGATGGTATGAAAACCTCTTCGTTCAAATTGAAACGCCAGTAAGAACATCATCTTATTGTGGATTTTTGAAACACGTACTGAGTACTTGTCGTAGAAATATTTTATCATATCATTTAGATTTATACGCTCCGTCTACTTTGATTTTGCTTTTCTTCCCATTTGATATTGATTACCATTTCATTTTTATTAATAGGTTAACTATCTATTTTCGAAGGAAGAAGGTAATAAAACTCATCAGTTAATCGGATAAAAAGTGAAAAAATTCTTTTCCAGAAGCAGCACTCAATAATATTTTGATAGATGATATTCGTATAGATCCTGCTGCACTTTGTCCTACTTTACGCGATGATGACTTGTATATACCTACGGATTAAGAACCACATGAATGAACATAATTTCTTTGATCTGGGTATGAATACGTATCGTGTCTAGGTGATAAGACGCTGCTAACAGTATTTACTGATGTTATTAAATTAATTGCTTCCTTCAAACCGGTAACTGTTTATATTATTAAAAAGTAGCTCGAAAATGCTTCTGCATAACTGAATTATGAACAATGATCATCATCTGTGAGTCGTCTAACTAGCGGCTGTACAATTAGCAAAAACGAATATTTTAAGCTGTTTCCCAAGGGGGGAGGGGAAATGATTTGTGATTTATTTGATTTAAATTTGAGTTTTGAATGATTTAAATCAACTTTTTCCCGTTGGTATAACTACATGTGCAGCACTGTGCTATTATACTATAACAATCGAACTCACCGCTACAGATTGTTATAAATATCGCTTGATCGCCAGATACGATCTTATTAAATATTATTAAAACAACTTTCACTTAATGTACTGATCAATTTTGGTTATAATAAGATAGTTAAATTTTGAAGATCATCAAAAACGACAGGCTCTTTAGAGATAGCTTTCGTCTATGATAGATGGTATATATGTATGTCATGTATGAGATGACCTCGGATCCTAACAATTCGCATTCCTTTGCACAAATAGAATAAAATGGAACATGGATAGCCAATAGATAACTAACACTGTATTTAGTGTAATGTTGCATGTTTTTTATCGTTCTTATCCTACATTGATTCACTAGATAAAGGGTGTGGGTATCGATGAGGGCGTATGACGATTTGAATGAGAGTAAAAGCCAGTAGAACGAATTGTCATAGGATAAAGTTACAGGAAATCACCGGCAGCACCAGCTACTGCTAAGCAACCAGGAACAAATAGTAATGCTGCTATATTATAGTCAAGAGTAAAATCTACATATCGAATGACAATTCTCATCATGCTTAATAATTAGTACACGAACTACAGTTATTGTTGCTGTAAGCTAAAAGTTGACAAATATTTCTTTATTTTTAAACTGTGAGCGTCAATATGAGCATTCCGACATTCGGTGAAAAACAAAGCAGCTTAAAAAAGATGAGCCATAGTGGGCAAAAGCAGTAACAATGAGGTAAGGAGAAAATAATAGAGCGAAATGCGTTAGAATACTTGAGAAAAAGTTGATTCATTTAGACTGATACAACAAAAAAGAAGATTGAGAATTAAAAGTCTAACTAAGTAAGCATAGATAAAAGTCAGAATAGACGCAGATAAAATATTCCAGTTTTATCCTTTAACGCCGTATGCAATTTAATACGTACATCAGAAACAGAATAGATTATTCTGCATATGTGTAAGACCGCAAGTGATAAAAGAAAAGATATCACCCGTTGTTCCAAATCCGATGAAATCATTCAATGTATTTTTAATTACTACGAAATATTTTAGAAAAGCAGTCAGATGTCAAAGCAGAAATGTTCCTTTGACGTTTATTTCAGTAGATAGAGCATTCACGTTTATATAACAGAACGTTAATAAGCATCGTTGGTCTATTAATAGTGACTATATCTCCGTGATTATCATTATTCAGGTCGAGAACATCAAACCAATCGAGATAGTCCTCATTCGAATAAATCATTTGTGCAGAAAATCGATTGTTTCCATCTCCAAACAATATATCGATAGTGTAAGTTGGATGACTGTAAACAACAATATCCAAATGACTATCATTATTTATATCACACACAACAATTTTATGTATTATTCCAAGTGATTTTATAATATTTCTCTCATTCCCTTGAAAACTACCATTAATATAATTGTAGACTATACATTCAACATCTTCCCCACTGTAAACAACGACAATGTCAGATTGATTGTTACTATTAAAGCCGCCAGTTATTAGATATTTATTAGAGGAGGCAAAATTGGTGAAGAATGGTGTTTGCATTTCAAATGTTCCATTTGCACTTCCAAAAAAAACATGGATATGCAAAGATTCGATACTGTATAGAACAATATCCAGATAGCCATCATTGTTACTATCGATAACAGATAACGGTCCTGATATCAGTTCGTTTTTCATTAATGAAACTTCGGGTGAAAAACTTCCATTATTCTGTCCAAACATTATATGAATATTCTTAAACGAAACATAACGCACAACGATGTCCAACACAGTATCCTTATTAACATCAAGTAGCATCATTTCAGCTATATCGCTTCTAAATACCATAGACGATATTACAGGCTGTGTTTGAAATGTACCATCACCACAGCCTAATACAGTGGTTAACATTATCTTCTCACTAAACTTCTCTGCTAGAAACACATCAAATCGATTATCATTATTCAAGTCGGCGATATGGGCTGTAATCATTTTACCAATACCACCAAACGACAACATCGTCGAATTTTGAAAAGTTCCATTGCCATTCCCTAATAATACCATCAACTTTACCTGCATACCAGTGATTTGCGTTATTAAAAGTATATCAGATCGATTGTCATTATTAACATCAGCAATATAAATATATTTTACCCAATGATATCTCGGCAAGACGAAGGTCATAGAATCAGAAAATGTTCCGTTTCCATTATTGAGCGATACCACCATCTTCTCATTTCTACCAGATTTACAAGAATATACAAGATCTATTCGTTTATCATTGTTGAAGTCGCCACTTGTCACAGTAAACCGTTCCACGATGCGATCCCGACAAGAAATGTTGGTTGATACCAGCTGAAACTTATCTCGACAAAATGTTTCTACAAGAATAAAGAAAGAATTTGTTTTTGTGACTTATCTTCCTTCTAAAACTGATCTTTTTTTTAAACGATGTTCATCATTCGACTCAATATTCGAATGTATGAAACAAGTACAATTTTCCTTTAACAATCGCATCGATCCTTTCTCGTTGAACTCGTATTTGAATTTTCTGATCTCGCCGATCTTTTATCCAATGAGAGAAGTGCGGACACACGGACGGCATAGACTCTATTTTATACGCAAGGGATCTCACTTGTTACAGTCGAAGATGTGGACGTCGTTGTACTTGTTGTACTTTCGTTTCGATCTAGTGTTTCATCCATCAATGAAACTATTCAAGACAATATTTCTGCATAATTATCAGAAAACTGAATTCTTCTACCTTTTCTCGCATAATAAACGGAAAATATCACAATACTGATCAACAGTAATATCAATGAAACAACTAACAAGATTAGTTTCGAATAACGCCAAGTTGATGAAACAGTTGTTCGTCTAAATAGAACAAATTCAAGCTTAACACATCAAAAGTTAAACTGTCCTTGAATCACTTGGATGTTTGAAGATCAGCAATGCATTCGAGACGATCTGATGTGATTGAAAGTGAATGCATCGGATGGATTGATATTCTGTGTTTTCTACGATAATATTCAGACATTTTTACTACAGTTAGAATCAGTTTTGGACAGATCCATTCCAGAACTAACGTTAAACCACCTTGAAGACTAAGAAAAAGTGTCATGATGTACAAGATATCGAACTTTTTAGTGTAGGTGTATGAACATGAGGAGGGTAAACATTGATGATAGTATTTTGAATAGTTCGTTTGTGTTTTCCATTGTTCAGTAAATGCATATGTTATCAATTCATGAATAGTTGTGTTTGATGGAAAGTGATTTGATGTGATAGAACGAGGAATGGAAATGTTTGGATAATTTATATATTGATGAAGAAGATCAACACACGATTGATTATGAAAACATTCGAGAGTTGAGAAATGAAAAGATTCACTTGGTAAACATCCCATTTTCAGTCCGATAAGTGTAATTATGTTTGAAGAATTATTTTCAATGAGAGTTGCTTGAGTTGTACAGCTTGGAGATAGTCCACATGAACAATTATCATCATAGATCATTGCATCTGTAAAAACATAATTTTCATTAATATCATAAAAGCGAGTAAAATATCGAAAATTAGTTTCATATGTTGTCATATAAGCATTTCCATGAACGACACTTTGAATGATGAAGAGAAATCGAGATAAGAGAATGGGAGCATTGAGTTCACTTTGTTGAATTGTGATGTTGATACGACGATGAAAATCTTGTTGAGAAAGAAGTTCAGTAGTGACTAACAATGATGTGAGAAATTCATTGATCGCATTGCTAGCTGAATCTTGTGAGATTTGACACAATTTTTGAAGATATAGAAGATGAGAAGAAAGAAATCGACGATAATCATTGGGTGAATAAGCAGAGACGTTCAATGCAAGACCATTTATTATCTGCATATACCATTCTTCTTGTACGAATTCGCTTGAACAAATCTAGAAATGAATATTCTCATAGGGGCGATGATGTTTATTCAAATAAATCTACATTTTGTTCTGCGCTTTGTTTTCGAAGAGAGACTCTTGATTTTATCGTTCGGATTGTTCTATTATGTGATATTGGAAACAAATACTATTATATTATACTAAATGAAATCGTTCTCTTTGTTGTTTTGTTAATAGAATCTAGAAACATGTGCCTATGATTAGTCTTCATATCGGACATATCTGTATGAGTTCTGTACAAAATGAATGAATGAGTTTGATCTTACTGGATGAAATTCTGGTGTTATTACGACAAACTCATTGTATGTTGATGCAATCTGTGAACATAAACATTTGAGTTGCTTGCCATAATTTTCTTGTAATCCTTCATAAATATCAAATAAGGGTTGAGTGAATGTTGTTGTCACAACATGTGATTGAATAATTGTATAGAAGGTGAGAATGATGAAACTGCTAAGAAATAAGATGACGTAAAGACGAGTTGCCCATCGGCCATAGTTTTTAGCTGCCAGTGGATCAACATTGCTTCCAAAATCAGATGAAGCAAAGATATTCAAGTCAAGTAGTTTTGTTGACAAAAACTTGGTTCCATTTTGTATACTGATCTTTATTCGATTAAAAGAACTTCGATGGACTATAGAAAATATGAAGAAATAGAAAGCACTGAAACAGGTTTGACAAAAACTTACTTTGCTCCTGTCTTTGTCTACCTTTCCTAATCATTGTTAACAATCGAATAACCACTGTGATAAGACTAGGCGTGAGAATTTTGAGTGATAGTGTCATACCACCAACCATTGATAGTAATGTTATGATTATCTCGAAAAAGTTTTTTGTGTGCATCTTCTGAGAATAGGTACAAAAAGTAGGTGCACATGCGTCATAGAATGACTGATAAGATATTGAAGAATGCCATTGTTCGATCATCATCTCTTTAAACATAGTGGAAATATTTGCCTGCCGAGAGAATCGAGTTGTTGTTGGATCATAAACGATTGAGACAAGATCAGATGGGTATTGATACCTAATAGACCAGATTTTTTAAACACGCATTTACCCACGTGCTCAAAAAATTGCAACTATAAGCGTTATATACTGACAAACTGTATGCTCGAAACACTTTCTGTCGTAGAATTCTCACTTCTATCCTGCTAAGATGGTGATAGCTTGGTATTATTTACTAACTGGAAACGCTTTTTTAAAGGTCTAGGCTTCCATAGAAAACAAAATTTCATCCACACCTTCCGACTATATGTGCAAACGCGTCTTTTAAGACTCTTGACTGATAAGAAGGCGGATGATACACTGTTAGTACATACCTGAAAGAAAGAATAACTAATAATGATGGAAAACAAGCGGAATTCTCATAAAAACATTCGAGCGATGAAAATAGAAGAGAATCAACAGCAAGACACCGTTGAATCCAGCCTGGTACGTAAAGAAGTAGATTGCTACCAGAACTAGTCCCATGTATGGAGGAAGATTCATATATAACAGCTGGTACTTGACAATACGGGTCGATAGCACAGATACATTTGGTCGTCGTTGAATTAATTTCTTGGAGTTGATTCAACCGAAAGTGGAACTAAAAGTTAAGGAAAGCCTAGATCTGTTTCTTGATAGAAACTAAGTGAGAAACAAAATACTACGCTATATGAATGTGAAAATCTAGAAGAGAAAACGACTTGTTTGATGCGTATATAGTGAGTACTTGTGAAAGTCATATGCTAGTTGTACTACAGTTTAACTGATTGTTCATTTGAACAACAAGATTTGTCTCTGAAATCTCATTATATCATGAATTCTGAACCAATGTAAGATATGAGTCTCCATAAAATAATTCCATTTTCAACTTTCAACACTCCGAGTCAAAATATACCGACTATTCTTTTTTATTTGGGATCTGAAGGACAAGAATATTAGTGGAAGAGAGAAATTCATTCGCATAAATTCTCACATTCTTCTATTAGGCAAAATAACAACTTACCTTGAGTTGTTGATTGACATCGATGTCCTTTGTCAAAACATTATTCATTAAATTAACGTCATAAGACATTCCATTGTGTTTCCTCACTGGTACCATATATAGCTGATCTATCTGCATCCACAGTTGTAAAACATCTGTCATCACAGAAAAACTAAACACTATTGATTGATAAAACTGATTAAGACTTCCATTGATTTGTTTGTTGAGATCAGTTTCGTTCATCACAGACGAAACAATAAATAGTTGTGAAAGATATCGACCTATAGCATCATTGACCGTCTTGTTGGCTAAGTAACAAAAATTAGACAAAAACTGAAATTGTAAATATAGACGATATCGCCAATCATTGAAAGAGAAATCATATTTATAACTGTCCAACATATTTATCCAGCTGCCATGAATGAAACCGCTCGAACATATTTGATGGAAACGTGGAGATAATGATAGAAAACTTCCATAAGATGTTGCCTTCTTCGAACATGGACATTGAAGTGAATCGACATGAGAACTTTGCAAAGAATGGTAAGTTGTGACTGATGGATCTATTTCGATTATTGTCATCAGTTCACTATTCAATGATGTGAACAAACAAATAGTACAGATTAAACCTAAGATCAGAAACAAATCAAGATATGAGAATGCTAGAATTGTGTGTGTGTGTATATTTTGTAAAATCATGAAACTTTACCAAACAATAAAGCTAGGTAAACACGTGTGGTAATCTTCTGTTGTCTAACACCATGTTCCGTTCGATCATTGATATCTTTAAACAAATTCATGTGTCTCATTGTTTCAACCAATTTCCACTTCTTGGCTCGTTGTTCTATGATAATGATCAGATAAATATTCATGATGTTTCACTTGATTTCAAAGGAATCATTACCTGTTGGATTGTCATTTCTCTTTTTTGACCAACATTTCCATTTTTTGATGACATCAACAAAAAATGATGCAATGAGACGAAGAACAATGGTGAGACCGCCATAGAGACTGATGAAAAGTGTAATCGCATAGACTAGTTCTGTTCGTTCTGTTTTCGAATATGAACATGAAGATGGAGAACACAGTTGAAAATATTTCTCATAATCAATCTGTCTTGACCAGTTTATTATGAAAAGAGTATTCAAATATTGATGAATAGGTATTCTCTCATCTTGAGAAAATAAAGCCGAGTTATTCGGATCGAAATTAAGCTAAAGAGAAGAGAAGAGAGAAAGAAGATTGGATGAGACAGTGTTCAATATTTGAATACAAACTTGTGTTAATTTTGGAAAATAGTTGAGTAATAACTGAAGACATTGCACTTTGTAAAGACAATCTAATGTACTTTGGAGAAGTGCACTAAGAGGTGTACATCCTGTGAGGAAACCATTGACGATGGTTGAATCAGACATTGGATATAATTCAATTCTTCTGCGATATACAGTCATGTTGAATGGTAGTGGACTAAGCGTGGCATTGATTAACAGCATTAAATTATCGCATGATGGTCGCAGGTTATATTTTTTCTTTATTTCGTGTCCTTCAAAAGAAAGATATTTATTCGTATTATTATTTACTAAAATTATGAAATTTGTGTTGAGAGCTGTGATAAAATAATGCTTGTCACTTGTATTTTTCAGATAATCAAAAAAGGTCATCATTCGGGATATTGCGCTATTCTTCAGATGTTCAGTTGTACCATCAATTTCAATCTCAATTTGCTTTTTAGAATGAAGATAAAGACTAACGAGTTCAGTGTTATTCACATCAATTAAAATCTGAGAAATGATTTGTTTCGAAAGAGAACAAAACCTCGACAACAATTCAAACTAAAAACAAATGGATTAGAATGAGAATGAAAATAGTGATACTGATTACTTGTGAATAGGCTGTTGTTCGAAAATCCCACACACCATATTCACTTGCATTTTCAAAATATAACTTTGTGATCCATTCTTCACTAATAAAAATACTTGAACAGACTGGATGTGTTGTGACATTATTCGAAGTAAAATTCTGGTAAGGAGTGGTGATAGTTGAACATGGACATAGGAGTGTCTGATGATGTCGATCGTAAAGTTTAACGTATATTGGAAATCTGATGTTCGATATCGGTGTGAAGCTAGCACGAAGGAGCTAGCACGAACAAACGATATGTTAGGTAAAAACTTTTTTACTAAATATGTCCCGTCCATGAAAACTACACCATTCGACNGTGACATTATTCGAAGTAAAATTCTGGTAAGGAGTGGTGATAGTTGAACATGGACATAGGAGTGTCTGATGATGTCGATCGTAAAGTTTAACGTATATTGGAAATCTGATGTTCGATATCGGTGTGAAGCTAGCACGAAGGAGCTAGCACGAACAAACGATATGTTAGGTAAAAACTTTTTTACTAAATATGTCCCGTCCATGAAAACTACACCATTCGACTCAGAATTTAATTCTGCATCGAATGATGGTACTTTTATTCACCGGACAAACTTTGGAAAATTTTCTATCGATATCTTTGTTCGTTTCCTTTAGGTCTATTTATAATTCAGAAAGAATTTTTCCAAAGTTTGTCCGGTGGATAAAAGTGCCACCACTCGATGCAGAATTAAATTCTGAGTCGAATGGTGTAGTTCTCATGGACGGGACATATTTAGTAAAAAAGTTTTTACCTAACATATCGTTTGTTCGTGCTAGCTCCTTCGTGCTAGCTTCACACCGATATGTTCGATATGATAATTGTTGTTGATTGTGTTTTGATTAAATTGACATAGAATAAGATATAGAAACAAACTAAAACAAAGAAATTCTCATTTGTATGAGCATCCTCTCACCCTCACCCTCCCAGGTCGAACAATCCCATACTCGGATCCCACCGGATCCCATCGGATCCAATACAGAATTTTATCGGATCCTACAGGAATTCGACGGATCCGATGAAATCCTGGTGACGGAATCGCATTGGATTCCGACGGTCTCGGATCCGATCGGATCCCACGTCGGATCTCGTCGGACCCGAAACATGGATTTCCTGGATTTTCTAAGGATCATCATAGAATATAGCTAGAAAGATCGCTCATAAAATTTGCAACAACCGACGGGATTTTTCTAGTCGGATTCCAATGCAATTCCGTTTCCAGGAATCCGATCGGATTTTGTCGGATGGTCGGATCCGGTAAGATCCGATCGGATCCAGCATCGGATTTGTTGACCTGGGCTTAAGAATAAGGTGATCATTACCTGTCAGAAGAAGAATATAAAACCGAGTTTTATATTTTTGATATTTCACAATCAGATGTGGATCTGAAAGATTTTCATCATCATCGTATTCATCGTCTTTCAACATAAATAGATTATAATTGATCCCTTTGTTGTAAATCCATGTAATAAAACTTTTCAAATTCATTAGAATAGTTTGAGAAGATTATCCTTTGGTATCGAGAATTAGCTGAAAAACTTGTGGTATTTGCTCTAAAAGTACGACAGTGATATTAAATATGCGTATGACGAAGATTATAGCTGAGAATCAGATGAAAATATAGAATGCCATAGCAATGGAAGAACATTAGGACTTAAATAATTTATTTTCAGGCATGTTGACGTCTTCATTACTCTTTTTCAGATGGTACATTTCCTTTCAGTATTCAACGTTTTATCATGGCTTGCGTCATGTTCATGTGACGAATATTGACTTCAAACCATTTGGCAACATCTGCCATTGAGAACAGTTTAGAAAAGTATTATTATTGTTGCATACTATAGTAAAGCATACTTTCCAAATCAAATAGAACAAATCTGATAATTACATTTGCTTCTCTCTGGATGTCACGTACCTGTTTCAACACATGAGCATGAGAAACTGTTATCAAGCCCAGCACCATGAAATAAAAAATAATATAAAACCTTATGTTCACACGAATTCTATCCATATAAATGAATTTATTCGATGCTTAATCAAATATTCCATAGAATAACGATATTTTTTATCGACGGAAATTCACCGGAACATAAGGTTTTATGTGATTTTTTCTTTCATGGTACTAGCTTAACGCTGATTTTATTTTGCGTATACAAATATATTGACAATGCATTGAGTAGATCAAGAATTGAAAATCATGCCCTTGTGTTTCGAACTTCTAACGAGTCATCTATCGAAATCAGATTGCTGCTTAGAGAAAACAAAAAAAATTATATTGAAATTGAAATGCTCCTTGTGCTATGTATATTTTAGGAAATCTGTTGATCATCGTGGGATATAATTGTCATATTAATGTGCATATTGATGATTCCAAAGGATCTTTCAATGTCACTATAAACAGTCGCCTGTGGCTTCGTTCATCCTACACGCGACTATATACCTCGAATCAATGGTTTGGGTGCATAGCTTGATGAGATGAAAAAGGAATATTTTTATAACTCTACTTTAACGAGCCTTTATTCGCAGTATTCATACGTAAGTGAAATGCTCTCCACGTCTGCCGTGCACATGCTATCTTGTCTCATGTTTCTTCTCTAATCGGTTATTCTCGATTTGATGCATCTTGATATTGCGAGCGAACACACGCTTTCATTCCTTTCGTCATGTGTATATCAACGAGCATTTTGCGTCGGAAACAAATGATTGTAAAGAAAGAGAAACACATGCACAATAAAATGATATCACAAATGAATATATCTTTTTCACGAACAATGGTCACAAAAAAGAAAAATAACGATAAATGAATAGAGTTTGAGCATCTTTATCAGACGAGAAAACGAATTGGTTATTTTGTTTGTGTTAAAACTTGTTTTACTGCATACAAATAATCTCCATTAGTTTTAAACAAACCATTTTTATATTGATCCGATAATTTGGTTAATTGTTCAGCCGCCTCTTCTTCTTCCTAAAAATAAAGATAACTGTATGTGTTTGTTTCCATTCACAAAATCTTTTTAAAAAATATCTGGATAGTCTAGTATGAGTAACTACATGTTAAAAGTTACACACTCAATCGGGCTCCTTAGGGTTTTGTCCAAAAAGATTTCTTAAAAAACTGACCGATAGAAGTCTATCACTCTTTACAAAACTTAAAGGATCTTTCACGAAGAAAATATTTTATTTCAGTACCATTAGCTTCTCGGCCATTTGTCTTTTTAACAGAAAATGGTACAGCTTGGATGTGAATTGAACACAAAAGGAGAGAAACCATAGACGAATATATATATATATATGGATGTTAGCAACGCGAAATTGATTTTCTTCCTTGGCCGAAAACATGAGTGAGAGAGAGAGCAGAGAAATAGTCCGTCAGTGTAACATAGCCGACGGCATCGAAGTAAGCCATCGGCTAATTGACGCCATTTTTCTCTCTTCATATTCCATCGGCTGAGTTGAGGAAGAAATGAGTCAGACAGGAATGCCAATGTTTTGTGTGAAATTTTAATATTTTTAACTTTCTTTACTTAATAGAAAGCGAATTTGACACGGATATGACCAAGTAGCAAAGACCCTAACGAGAACTCGCGCTTTTTGAAAAGTGCGACAAAAACTATCGTTGAAGTAGTTTTATTATGAAAGCTTATCATTCACTTGAACGGTTTCGAATGTAGAAGTTGTCAGAGTAAAGTGGGACCGTTACCATCGGATCTTAGCAAACACGTCAGATCTTACTTCTATCAATATTGCGAAATAAAACAATGTGACCATATAGGAAAAGCGTCTGTTTCCTAATATCTGAAATGAACTTTCTACTCTCGCTTTGCGTATCGTGACGATGTCTGATGGAAGAGATGTATGAGCCGATAGAGCCACATCTGCATTCATTTCTTTTTGTCAAAAGCCCTCCATAATGATATAAGACGCACGTTTACATACTATTCACCGAATAGACGAAATAGGAAGGCAATTAGTGGCGGCGCCAGGGGTGGACTCACGAGGGAACATATTTAGGTGATTAAGCTATTTAGATCCCATCTTTTGGTGATAGATAGACCTCAATGAGGTATGAAAAACCTCAAGAGGATTCGTGCCCTCGCGCCTTTGTTCCACAGATATTGAGTTCTCAAGATGTATACGAAAAGAGACTGAAATGAAGGATGATCGTTTTTATAGAACAGTAGAGNTCTCTTTTCGTATACATCTTGAGAACTCAATATCTGTGGAACAAAGGCGCGAGGGCACGAATCCTCTTGAGGTTTTTCATACCTCATTGAGGTCTATCTATCACCAAAAGATGGGATCTAAATAGCTTAATCACCTGAATATGTTCCCTCGTCAGCCCACCCTAGTCTGGGTTAAGACGGGCTAAGCCCACCCTAGTGAGAATTCCTGGCGCCGCCGCTAAAGGCAATTCAACGTGCAGTGAAGTATCCACCAGGTACAGTTAGTATGTACATAATACGTGTCATTGAGATCGTCACCTACAGTACCTGCTCCTTTGTTGACATTGGCTTTTCTTCTACGAGAGTAAATGATGTCGATGTTGCAAGAATCGTTTCCTGCTAAAAAAAAGAAGACACTGAAATATCGAATGCGATTGAATTGACATTACTATGTCATCATCAGGTTTAATGAGATTACAAGCACGTGTCAAGATTTTCTGACTTTCCACTAATTGATCAAACTCATCTGTATGAAAGTCGTGTACATGCTGAAGCCAATTAATCTTATTTGCATCAGGAATATAAGATGGACAATTCGAACAAACATAAAGGTCCTCATCTAAGCAATAAAAACTACTATTCGTTGTGGAGATAAAACAGCACAGAGTTTACGATTTGTCGGTGGTTTGTAACCATGAAACAAATTAATGACACTTTGCCCAATTGCAGTTCGATTTGAAGAAGCCATTCGAAAATAAAATCTAAATGAAACTATGAAGATAATTGTGAGAGACTAATTGATGTCAAGACAATAAAGATGAGTTTTTGTGGATATCCCATATGCTCTCATTCTTTCGAACTCGGCACCTATTTTGCTGTGATTTTTCCTTATTGATGTCATGTATGAAATAACATCGGGTCCAAAAGAGTTACAACTATAGCTATATACCAATTCGCGTTCGTCTGCTCGAATTTAACAAGATGAAACATGGATAACCAATAGATAACTAACACTATATCTAGTGTAATGTTGCATGTCTTTCATCGTTCTTATCCCACATTGATTCACCAGATAGATCATCGTGTTACTCGTCAAGGAGGGAGAGTGACGAATTAATCTCTCGATCAATAAACTTACAAGATCTTGATAGAGGAAAACCTTGCCAAGCGCTCAATAGCCTACAACATTTCAATAAGATGTTCTGTTTTACGTATACGAATATGTTGACAATGCATTGAGCAAATCAAGAATTGAAAATCATGCCCTTGTGTTTCGAACTTCTGACGAGTCATCTATCGAAATCAGATTGCTGCTTGGAGAAAAGAAAACACCAATAGTTACAAAGACTGCTTATATGTTTATATCGATGATTCGAAAGTAATATTGAAATTGAAATGCTCCTTGTGCTATGTATATTTTAGAAATTCTGTTGATCATTGTTGGATATAGTTGTCATATTAACGTGCATATTGATGATTCCAAAGGATCTTTCAATATCACTATAAACAGTCGCCTCTGGCTTCGTTCATCCTACACGCGACTGTATGCTTCGAATCAATGGTTTTCAACACAAGATGAATCTCTTCTCCTAATCGACAAACATTCGAATGAAGGCAATGATTCGACATTAGGAAAATGGAATGAAACATGTTTGATTTATCAGTTTTATTTCAACGACACATCCGTGAATATATCAGGAAGTATTCGTCAATGGGAATCAATTCCAGCGATAACATTTCATTTTCAGAGTGCGACAATAATCGACTTAAACAATGATCGATTACTTGATATGGATCGAGTTCGAAGTGTCTTCCCTTCATTTTATGCTGAAAAGTTCGACAAGAATGATCATCGAGGATATCTAACATTCGGAGGTATTGTTCATTTACAGTAAGGTATGAACAAATCATCGATTGATTTCTTTTCAACAAAGGGATGATGATGGGTGATATGGAAAAACATGCTGGAATATGGAACTCCAGAAGTCGATTTCTGAAGACGGGAATGAGTGGTGGTCCGCTGGTCATATTCAACTTAACTGAGAATGGTCAAGGTGATTCAATCATCATTTCACCATTGTCACAATTCATGTCTAGTTCGTTAAGTCTGAATATCAACATTGTTGAATATGGTTTTCTTGGTTCCATTCGGTCGATTCCAATGAATTCAACAAATTCTTTAATTATTTATTATTCATCCCAAGGTATTAATCATCTTCTCGATCAATGGGGTAAAACAATGCAAAAAGTTTATAAGAAAACCAATGAATATCGTTCCAAAGATGTAACAAACAACTATCTCGGTTATTATACGGATAACGGTGCTTATTATTATTATCATACTGAGTCTGAAATGAATTATGAACAAACAGTTCTGTCCATAAAGGAGAATCTTTCAATACCAATCCATTATATTCAATTGGATTCTTGGTGGTATTATAAAGGACTAGCAAATGGCGTTTACCAATGGATATCACGTTCGGAAATATTTCCTGATGGGCTTGAAGGTTTGAATGAAAAACTCAATAATTTTCCATTAGCTGGGCATAATCGATACTGGTCATTAGACACAATTTATTCACGAAATTATAGTTTTGTTTTCGATGAGAGTAATCTGAAAAGTCTTCCGCTGAGTAACGATTCTTTTTGGATTGATCTATTCAATTCTTCGTCAAAATGGAATTTAATTTTATATGAACAAGATTGGATGAACCATCAAACGATCGATTTTCTTCCTTTACGTGAAGATTTCTATCTCGGTCGACAATGGTTAATTCAAATGGGTTATGCAGCTGATCTATTCAATATTAATCTTCAATATTGTATGAGTCTACCTCGACATGCTCTTCAATCGTTGGAAATTCAACGTGTAACGCAAGCAAGAGTATCCGATGATTATTATATTCATATTGTTCATCGAATTCCTCAGTGGAAAATCGGAGTATCGTCTATGCTAGCGAATGCGCTCGGTTTAGCACCATTCAAAGATATTTTCTGGTCAACAGAAGTTCAAAATGGTGCTCCGTACAAATCGAGCGTAAAAGAACCTTTACCTGATAGAGAAATTCTAATCGCAACACTTTCGACGGGTCCAGTAGCAACTGGCGATGGAATTAACTATATCAATAAAGGACGTATTATGAGATGTTGTCGACAAGATGGTTTGATTTTAAAACCATCACGTCCCTTAACAATGATTGATTTATTAATATCTGATTGGGCGAAAAACAAAGGTGTCAATCAAGGTGAACTTTATTCCACACAAACGGTCATGTAAATGATATTGTTTCTCTTACTAAAAATGCCCTTACGGCTTTCTTTCTTCTAGAAATGATCAAATCTTTTCAATGATATTTGCATCATCAATGCGGCGTAATTACTCAATAGTCCCGTCGATGATCGGGTCACCAGATGGAATTGTCTGGTCATTTTCTAATCCGTATGAATTGTTTACTTTCGATAATAACCATCCACTTGATATACCACATGAAATATGTAATGATACAACATATTGTCTTTGGTATAGTTCGTCGTTATGGCAATTCAGCGATTCTTTATCCACTAAATACGCTTTCATGGGTGAATTGAATAAATGGACATTTGTTAGTGAACAGAGATTTTCATCGATTGAAAGAAATTCTCAGAATACTCAAACGACAATAACGATTCAAGGTGTAACCGATGAACTAGTCGATGTTCTTGTTTATCATTCAAAATACGAATCTATTATTCAGTTATCTTGTCATTTTTCTGCAGATAAACTGCGAACTCAACTTATAATTAATTCTACAAATGTAATTTGTTTATAAATAGAAATAAAATCTACGTTCACCTTTGAAAGCAAGAAATAATGTAATACGCATCACTACTGTTCTGCAAGGCGGTAGACTATGTGCGACATCTATGTCAACGGGGGAAAAACATATTGTTTTCAAAAATCAATTAAATCAGATAAATTTAATTAAGAATATTTTCCAAATTGAGTAAATTGTTTTTAATTGACGGAGTTTCATTTTTCAGATTAATTGGGGAGAAAAGCGATTGGTTCGATGAAATACTATTCCAAAGAGCCAGAGTTTATTATTTGTTTTTTTCGAAAGAGGTTCTCATACAATCGAAAAATCTTCGAACATCTTGATTTGACTTTTTTTAACAGTAAAATTTGCATTTCATTCGCTACCGAAATATATAAAAGTCATTTTGCGCAAATCTATCCATAAGACCTAAACAATCCTTTTTCATAGTGAGGCACGTTTAAAAATAAACAAACATTCAGCGATTTGTTATTCTAATTCAATTTTCCATCGATTTCAGATCTCGATCGTTATATCATCGATCACTACAGGTATGGATTTTTCGAATTGAATTATAGAAGAAAAAACGAATGCTCAAGGATGATAATTTTTATCAACAGACATATATACTGTTGACTAATCACCAAGTTTTCCCTGAGAGCATTGAAATCGAGTTTTCGCAATTTAACAAATAAATCCCTTCTTTAGATGGCTTCAAATAAGACCCTCAAAATAAAGAAGGTACTTGCCAAAAAACAAAAGCAAAACCGACCTGTTCCACAATGGGTAAGTTCAATCATCATTCAATAATTCGTCTTTTTATCTGATCTTTCTTTAGATCCGTATGCGTACAGGCAACACCATTCGATACAACTCAAAACGTCGTCATTTCCGTCGTACCAAACTCAAATTATAAACAGTTCTCAATCATGACGACAATGACAATTTGTTCGCTTTAATCGTCTAGATTGTTATTGTTGTTGTTGTATTGTTTTTGTTAAAAGACAAGAAGATGAAAATAACACCTATTCATTCGAATAAATAAAATAATTACCATCGAACGAACGAATGAATGAACGCACAGATTCTTATCCTTAGAGCTAAATCCTACGATCATTCGCAAAAAAATACTCTCTTGTGCCAGTTAAGGATTAATAATATAACGAAGGTTTCATAAAGAACTTCGAGAACGAATGAGTCGTAAAATCTTCTTCGTTCTTGAATTCTCTAGTGAACTTTGATAAATTCATGAATTACATACCGAAAAAACTCTCTTTTTTTTCTCTAACGACATTGACAAAGCAAAACAGATACGAGATAAGATATACCGGCATTCGTTTCTTATCTTCATCGAAGATTCTGTGTCTTCTCGAACACTTCACTAATTTTACCTACATAAATAACAAGTTTTTAGTGCGTTTCGTGTAGAAATATCATTCGAATATTAGCAAAATGCAAGGCCTTTCTCGTCTTGCTGTTCTTTTCTGCTCATTATTGATTATTTCAACAATTGATGCTCGTCTTCGTCGGTTAGTAAAGTTGTCGATTGGCTTTCCGATTTATTTTGTTTGTCTAATTCAGAGTCAAATTAAATCATATCGAATCAGTTCACGATCAACTATACAAAGTTGGTTCACATGAATCCATTGCATTCACACGTAAATATGCAGTCGATGGACCAATTCCAGAATCGTTAACAAACTACTTGGATGTAAATATTCTTCACAAACTCGAGTTCCTCATCAATATTTCTTTCTTTAGGCTCAATACTATGGTGACATCGGTATTGGCTCACCAGCTCAACCTTTCCGTGTTGTGTTCGAGTATGTTCAGATATTTTGATTTAAAAGAATTACAAATTTTGTTTTATAGCACTGGTTCATCCAATCTTTGGGTACCAAGGTAAAGACATTCATTCCGAGGAAGATAATGCTGAGATTTATTTTAGTGTTCACTGTTCAATATTTGATATTGCTTGTCGTAAGTTCATTTATACTGTATGACTATCGAATATTGTTATTATTTAGAACTGCACAAGAAATACGATAATTCGAAATCAACCACCTATGTTGCTAATGGTACTGATTTCAAGGTAATATTGTTGAAAAATAATCGTGTTTTCTCGAACGTTTCTATATTTAGATCAGATATGGCACTGGTTCACTCGAAGGATACGTTAGTGTTGACACTGTCACAGTAAGACATGCATAATATTCTTTTCTCGGATTCAAATTCGTCGTCTTTGCGATAAAATTAGATTGGTGGTGCTAAAATTCAAAATCAAGGTTTTGCTGAAGCAATTAAACAGCCCGGAATTGTTTTCATCGCTGCCAAATTCGATGGTGAGGCTGAATAAGATGCATTAACAAAAGTCTACATTGATCTATATATATATATATCTTTAAAGGTATTCTTGGTCTCGCATATCCATCAATATCTGTTGATGGTGTATATCCAGTCTTCAACAACATGATCGATCAAAAATTAGTTCCTGAAAGCATTTTCAGTTTCTGGCTTGACCGGTAAGATGGTGTTCAATTGGAATAAAATTTGTTAATAAACGTTTCTTTTTAGTGATCCGGATAATCCACGTGGTGGTGAAATCATTTTTGGAGGTTCAGATCCTTCTCTATACGAAGGTGACTTCACCTATCTCGAAGTTACTCGCAAGGATTATTGGCAATTTAAAATGGATGGAATTGCGTTCAATTCCAATCGATACTGTCAAGGTGGTTGCCAAGCGTAAGAACATACTTTCGCTTAATAAACTGAAAAAAAATGTTTGTCTGTAGTATTGCTGATACTGGTACAAGTCTTTTAGTTGGTCCTAAGAAAGAAATCGAAAGTCTCAACTTGAAATTAGGCGCCATACCCATTCCCGGTGGCGAAGTAAGACAAATCACAGGAGAAGAAAAAGAGTCATCTGTCGTTTTCTAATCGTTTCTTTAGTATATGATCGCTTGTAGTGACATTCCAAACTTACCACGTATTAATTTCACTCTTAATGGTAAAGATTTCTACTTGGATGGTCACCAATATGTTTTATCCGTAACACAAGCGAACAAAACTGTTTGCATTTCTGGCTTTGCTGGTATTGATGTTCCTCCTCCAGCTGGTCCACTTTGGATTCTTGGCGATGTTTTCATTGGGCCATGGTACACCGAATTCGATGTTGCTAACAATCGTGTTGGTTTTGCAAAATCTGTTACACCAAAAAATGCAACACTTAATCATCCAAGAAAAATCCCATCTCTCCGCCATTTATTACCTTAAGTATTTTTATGAAATCTTTACTTTTTAATTGAAACACCAATAAAATCCGTTTAATCTTGACATTCTATATTTCTTACGAAGTGAAATGAAAAGTCGTCACTGCTCATGAAAGAGCAGAAATAACACGCGATTACTTATGCTTTCTATCGCTAACTATACAATTGAATGTAATCAGAAACGAAGATTACATAATCATTCGATTTTTCTCTTTAATTGAACAATAACACAATCTTAAGTAGCATTTAGAAGTAGATTGAACAAGCGAATAGAAAAAAGAACACAGGTAAAATCGGGACAAAGTGACGTGCGGAGATAAAGTAGTAGACGAAAATGGCGTTTACGTACATAAGCAAGTAGTAGGTCAGCATAGATGCATAAATATTTAGGTCAATTTTAAAGTTGACTATTCTTATCGTTGCCGATTACAGAACTGAAGAGAATATGTCGTTTGAGTGCGATGGTATCAGATGAAATACTAGTGAACTTCATGTGTTTATGCGATATTATCATATTTCGATAGATGTGACTTTTTAATGAAGAAATAAGTCATTTGAAAAGTAAAATATCCGATGTTTGGAGTGTTCGGTTTGTTATTCAATAATATTTGATCAGACGATGAATCTCCTGCGTTCGATAGTAAGCTTTCGAGTAATAAGAAATGTATTTTAGGCCATTGTGTAAACATCGCGTGTCAACATAAATTTTGTTTATTTTGATGTATTAAAATAACAAAATTCACGTCAAAGTTAAGCTTCAATTTGACTAAGTCAACCATGATCATTCATCTCGTATCATTTTACACAAAAGAAACTTTGTTGGCCAAGTGCCGTTTTGTCCTTGGTTAAATGGGATATTCGTATTGCTAAAGTCGAACTTGAAAAGCATCAGATATCAACGCAGAAAGAAAGAAAGATGAATATTAATAATTATAATCGATGTGATACAACATCATCTTGTTGTCTTTATTGATATAACAGGTATGACATGCAGGAGATGAATGACTTTTACTTTTTATATAGACTTTTCATCTCCGACATCAACAGAACAAAATGTCATGTTCATGACAGTTAGATCATTTGACAAGAGAAAGACTGACTGTTTATTTTCTTGTTCCTACTCCTTGTGATAATTATTGTAAGAAGTGAAAACCGCAAGTGAATGCCGCGATTATAATATACATTTAAATGAGAAGAAGAATGTCGTCGAGAGAAGCCAATTTCGCTCTCTCTCTCTCTCTCTCTCTCTGCGTCGTCTTTGCTCTCAAGTGCAAAAGGAAAGTTGTAAATCTTAATGGAATGTATGTGGTTAAAGAGAAGCAAAAATTCTCTATCAACTAACATCAGCACCATCGTCATCATACGCGAGCATACGACCGTCTTTCTTTTCACTTTTTTTTCTATACAATCACACACAACGCACTTCATACCTTTAAACTCATTTGTTCTTTTCTTCTGTTCATCATTTTCCCCTTTCTTCTTCTTCTTCTTCTGCGATGGCTCAGACATCGATTTGATTACAACTTTAGTAAACTTCAGTTTACCTGTATGGAGTTTTTCATAACATATGACATATTTATTTTCTTCGATTACAAATCCATACATCTCTTGCAAAGAATTTCTGCATTCGTACCTTCTTTCTTTCTGTTGTTTTGTGTGCTTATGCGACCGCAAGCCACAAGTTTTTTTCTCTGAGTCCTTCATGGCCATCGTCACTGTGAATAATAATAATGATAATAACGACAAACCTATCCACACGATGAAAAAAAAAAGTTATTTTTTCCTTTTCTTTGCATCATGGCCTTTTACTGTCGACTTCTTTTTGTCTTCAATCTTATTTTTAAATATATTAATGAAAGTTCTTTTTCTTTCTTTTTTTCTTTTTCTTGAAATTTCATTCATATGTACGATAGAAGAAAACAAAAAATCAATTTTCGAATTCGCCTTTTCTTTTCTTCGTTACTTGTTTTGTTTAATTTTTCTATCTAGGCAAGAGAAAGAAAATCCAACGTGAACAAAAGAAAAAGGGCACATTGAAGGTTCCCTAAGGGAAGTTTTCGAATGAGAATTTGACAGCTTGTGCTGGTGTACGTATGTATGCGTGGGTGTCGAAGAGAGAAAAACGAGAAATATAAACATTGAAAGAGACATGCACCCTTCACGACGTAGTGGCCCGGTTACCGATTTACACAATGCTCATACAGTTTCAACATTGATGAGAACAATGACAACGTCAACATTACCATCACAACGTTCTCAACGTCACTCCTCTCGATCGAGACTGACTGCAGATGGAACATTTCCAGTTCGATCATCAAGTATTCATCAGGTTTGTTACAATTAATTAAAAAACACGTAATAGAAAATGTTTCTATCTTTGTTTTAGATGGACAGTCATGATCACGAATACGAACGACCGTCTCGAACGTTCGATGCTGTTCGTTCAGCGGATCTACTTGCACTGGAAATCAAACTCAGCAGTAATGAAAAGGTCATCGCTCATCAAAATGCCCAAGTAATCAATTTAAATCATCAAGACTAATCTGATTGTCCTTTTTTTCTCAGATTGAAATGTTACGTGAAACCAATCGAACGCTAGAAAGGCGACTGCACGAATTATCGGATCTTAAACGTGATTTATCCAATAAGCAATATGAAGAACGTTTGAAAAATGATGATCTACTTCGAGATCTTCATGATATCGATCGTTTAGCACGAAAAGTTCAAGCAGATAAACAATACACCGTTGATGCTGCGGACCGAGAACTAACTGAAGCCAAAGTAATTTTCTTTCGAAACTATCTTTCTCATTTTGTCTTCTTTCTCAGATGGAAATCGAACAAAATCATCGTGAAATGCAAGCACTCGATACAAGACTTGTCCATTTAAGCACGGTATGCCATTTATTAATAATAAATTAATTTATAACGAGAAACAAATAGGAGTTATCATGATCTTTCAATCGAGACTCATAAACGTGCATCTCTATGGATTCAATTTCTGAGTAGTTGATAAAAATAGAAAAAACAACAAAAGATTTCACTTTGTTTTTCGAGAATAGCTTAACGATAGAAATCAAATTATCGATAGGAAAGAAGTTTTTTTCTCGTTTCACTCATTCAACCTTGATTTTTAATACACACACAACGTTTGCAGTTACTTGATAACAAAATAAATGATCGAAGTATCATAACAAGGAAGCATTTTACTGAAGAATTTTTTTTTCTTTTTCAAAGGACAAAAAGAGTCTTATCGAAGAACTTGCAATAATGAAGAATCAGTTCGCGGATTGTAATAATGAACTTCTTCATCTGCAAGATATCGTAGATCGTTTACAAGCCGACAAAGGCAAACTTAGTCGACGAGTGTCCAAACTGGTTCAAAATGGTAAGAAAAGACGATGAAAACAATGAACCACATCTTGTCGTGTTGATTCTGTATAGAAAAAGAACTACTTTACGAGTTGCAAAGATGCCGCCGTACGACTAAACCTCCCACTCCGTCCGCATCTGGTGGCGCAACATCAAAAAAACTTTCGCTTCCTGCTCGACTTGAAATTCACCTTCGAAATATCGAAGACGAACGTGATATGTACAAAAACGAAGTGGAAATTTTACAAAAGCTGCTCAACAACCATCCACGTTGTGTTTCATCGTCATCACCATCTTCTCTGAGAGGTCGGTCGTTGTCCCCGTCCGTTGCTACACGTGGATCTGGTCGTCGCGACACAGCCACATCACCTATGATGCATTTGATCAAACGATCAGCTAGTAGTATTAGTACATCACCAACACGTTGTACTGTATGTGGAATTAATCGAAATCGATTATCACCAGCGAAAGTAAGAGAACAAAGGGAAAGAATTCCGTTCGATTTGATTGCTTTTCTAGGATGTGAATCCGTATGAAACTCAACTAAGAAATGTCGAAGACGAACGAGATCGTTTTCGACGAGAGTTACATAAATATAAACGATCTACGAAAGACAAAGTAAATCAACACATTATCTTCTCGTTAAATCTCTATTCGAGTTTCTAGGATTCGACTGATGCTCAGTTATCAAAAGCATTACGAGAAAAAGAAGATTTACAATTACTATTAAATAAATTTGAGCGACATATGGCTGAGGTATGAACTAGTCTCTAACTTTAATTCCGTAGATTTCCTTTTTTCTCCAGATTCAAGGTAATATTAAAGTGCTCACAAATGAACGAGATAGTACAAATATACTTTATGAACAAGTATGTCCGTTTTCTTTGATTGTCCGTTGCTTTTCAACGTTAAAGTTTGTTAGGCGAAAGAAGATTTGCAAAAAGCTCGACTTGAACTTCTACAAAACTCACAAACACCGAAAGTTTCTTTGGCAGCCCAATCCATTTTGCGAAAAGTCGAAAATGAACGCGATTCAGGTTGAATTTCATGTCAGAAAAAACCCTTTCCTTCATAATCTTATTCTTCACGTTTTCAGCGCTTGTCGAAGCACGAGCTGCAGCGAGTGAACGAGATTCTTTACGCGAACGTCTACGAGTAAATTCCTCAAGATTCATCTTCCTCATTGCATGTCAAACTTTCTTCTTAGGTCGCAACCGATGCTGGACTAACCGAACGAGCACGAAATGAACAACGTATCGAAGATCTTGAAGTTGACTTACGCAAAGTAAGATCCACGTTAAGACCGATTACAAATGATTATTTTTCTCTCTTCTGAAAAGCTCGAACATGATCGTGAACAAATCATTCAACAGAACCATTCCTTACGTGAACAAATTCGCGATTTAGAAAATCAACTCAGCGAACGATCATTTGCCATCACTCAGCTGAATCAAGAGCTAGATGATCAAAAGAGTGCTTCCGCGCAGTTACGATATCTCTCCGAAGAAGCTGAACGTCTTGTTCAAGAAAATCAGCGACAATTGAATCTGAAAAAAGATGAACTTCGAGCACAAGAAGAGAAAATTATCAAGTTGGAAAAGAAAATTTGTATGTTAAACAAATAATTTCTAGCAAAAAAAACACAACAAAAATCATGTTCTCGATTTCAGATGAATTGCAAGAAGCAAATAAGGCATTGAAAGACGACTTTCTCGTCGTGAGAAATACTGTTCAAACACTCGATAAAGAAAAAGAGCATCTATGCGGTGTTATTGATCTGAGAGCCGATGAAAATCTACGTCTAACACAAGAAATCAATGCAAAAATACGGCGAATCGAAGAACTGAACCGAATAGTGTCCGAATTAGAATCTGCTCTAGAGTAACAACGATGTAAATTCTTTCAGGTGCAATAATCTTCGTTTTTAGTCGAACGAATGAAGACGCCAAACAAAAATCGAAAGAAATCACAACTATCAGAATTCAAATCGACCGAAATGCTGAGGAATCCAGCGAGTATCGACGTAAATTAGAACTCAGTCTACGTGACAATGCACGACTCCAAGATGAACTTCTAAACACGGCACGCGACAATCAAGTACGCCGAATTCCTAACTGAAACTATGCAGTTCATATATGTTCTTTTCTTTAAAGAAACTCCGTCAAGATTTCGAACGTGCTGTCGATGATAAAGAGAGTCTGAAATTACAAATCCAAGAATACATCAAACAAGTTTCGAACTGCGATAACATCATTGCTCAAAAGGTATTTCTGCTCTCATCATTGGTTAATTGTTTACATGAAACTTGTAGGAAAATGATCGAACCACTTTAATTGAACAATATCGCGAAGCAAGTAATGAATTAAGTCGTGCGAAACTGACTCTCGCTGATATCGAATCGCATGCAAATGATCTTAAACAAGAACTACAAACCAAATCTGCAGATATCAAACGTTTAACAGAACGTATCAATTTTCTCGAACGAGATGTTCATCATGTAAGTGAAAACGTCGTTGCCATATTTGTCTAACCTTGCCATTCATCTTCAGCATGCAACAGTCGGTCAAGAATATGAAATTCAATTATCGAATATGAATCGTTCACTTCAACGTAGTGAAGAAATCATCAAAAAATTACAATCAGATAAACAAGATCTCTTAACGGATGTGAACAGTATTCGTGATCATAATTCTTCGATTGAAAGCAAAAAAGAGCAAATCATGCGGCAATTGACATCGATTGAGTTAGAAAATGATCAATTACGAGCCATCAATGGAGATATGAAAATTGAAATCGATATGTTACGTACACAAATTAGTAATGAAAAAGCGGTTGTACAAAGTCTAGAAGAATTAATCAATTCGTTACGTGAAAAAGAATTTCAAGCACAAATAAATGCGAAAGAACGAGAGTCGGAATTACATATCGCGAAAGATCGTGCAAATCTAAGTGATCTGAAAGTGTATGTCATTGACAGTCAAAGTTTTCTTTTCCTCAATTTCTTTTTTGTGAATATTTTCAGACATACTCAAAGTAAAGAGGTCGCTGCATTGCGAACTCAGATTCTTGGACTGGAATCAGATATCAAACGATTAAAAAGTTCACTATCCAATGAACGACATGAAAAGTAAATACCGAAGGTCTTTCCTTAGTTTCGGAAACTTTCTTTTGTGTTATTCAAGGGAAATGGCAATGCAAGATCTACGAAGACTGAATGATCGTTCCGCACATATTGAATACGATAGTCGATATCGTAGTGCATCACCTCGAATAACCACATCAACTTCCAAGTAAAATTATTTATTCTTTCACTATCAATTCATCGATTGTTATTACTTTTTCAGTACAAATCTTCATCGATCACCTGCAAGAAGTCGTTCTCCCTCTCATTCCGACTCATCTCCAACAAAGGTGCGTATTTCTTCCAAGACAATTCTTTTAGTCTAAGATAAATTTTCATCTAACTATGTGTGTCTATATGTAAAGATCTCCATCTCTCTCAAAGTTTCTGAGATTGACGATAATTATGAAGTTGCTGCTGAAAACAACGGTAATGTCACTAATCACGATGATCTCACCGTGAAAACTTGATTATCTCCACCATTGCTTCTGTTGTTATTCGTTTCTTTGTCGCTTGATTTCGCTTTCTATTGGAAATTTGCATCATACAAAATGATTATTTTCTTCTTTCTATTACCTAGAGCATTAATCGAACGTGCAGTTTATGCGTTAACACAACTGCATAACTATCCAATACAAATTCTCCGTCCAGACTTTCCTTCTTTCGTGTGTGTGTGTGTGTGTGTTGGTTTGATTCTTTCTATTTAATTCACTAAGAACAAGTGTTTATTTGAGTTCTTTGCTTTAACTTTGTTGGATTTCGATGTCTCTTTTCCTCTTGATATGCGTATTTTTAGGCAACAAGGTTATTCAGGAGAAGTTGCTGTCGAAAGCAGAACGTTTCTATTTTCTTTTCATTCCGTGTAGATTTGTGATATGAATAAACTAATGCTGAGTAGAAATGGTTTTTTTATTCTTTCATTTATCGAAGGATTTCGTTTTCACAAAGAAAAATTATTTAAAATTGTTGAAGAACAGCATTTTTCAGTTGGTCATTGGTCTTGCGACGATTGAGTCTGCCGAGAAACTTATGAATACGATACGGTTCGACTTGCATTTCTCCACGACGAAGAATTTGCTCTAACATATGGGCGACTTTTTTTGAATTTCGACGAGATAATTCATGTTCATCACTATCCTCAACTGATGACGACAAATCAGCATCGAGTGCTTGACTGACCTAAAGTAGAAAAACAAAAAGTCAACGATCGTTCGTACAAAATCGTTTTGAAGTCAACCTGAATAATAATCATCGAAATGCATAAGACAACGAGAAAGTAACGAATGTACGAAGTTGATTGATGATGAAGAGAAACCATGTTGTTTATTTTTCTTAAACAAACTTTAAAGCTAAAAAAAAGGAAGAGAAATGAGTTCCGCCGTAGATGAAACAAAACGACGACTTGAAAAACTATGTTTATCCATGATTAATGCATGGCACTTGGAAAGACGCAGTTTAGTTCGGTGGGTGTATGAAGACCGAACATTGCTATTTAAAGATGATCATCAATTGTAATTGAATAAAGTACGGCGAAGGAAATAAATATTCCGACTACGAGAGAAAAAGAAATTATTCTTAGATATCTTTCGTTCAGTAATCAACCGGGTTCGATTCTCTCGAGAACATATGAGTAATTCTCTCCTTCTTTATTTTTATTTAATTGACGTACAAATATTTTCCAATGTACAAAACGACTTTCAATCAATTAGAGATGTTTTCCTTAACATATCCAAATGATTGATCACTAAGCAAACTTGACTGGTCATAAATCTCAATTATTGACATTGTCGAAAAGGTCAAGTACAACTCATCGTGTTCTTCTTCGAACACAAAACATATTGATGTCGAAAGTTGCCGAAGGAAACAAGATGTCTTATCTCAATATTTAACAATCAGTTTTATCAAAAATTCGATTGATATTAACATGAATGTCTTGACCATTGTCCAATTATTTTGTCAGACTGTTGTTCCTATATGGAAACAATCACTGATAATCTTTTCATGTGCTTGTCGATATCCTAATGAGCAAAATCTAATTGTGTTGATGGCGATACAGATGTGTGTGTATGCACTTTATTGATATATTCATCTTCAAACTCGAATGGCATTAGACAGAAGAAAAGAAAAGAAAAGAAAGATATGTTCATTAGAGAAAAAGAGAAAGAGAAACAACATATCTATCAATTAGATTATCAGTCAGTCAGGCCAAATGGCACGGGTCAAACTGATCAGTCTCTCGCGTCTATGGTATACAATTATTGTTGTATTAATTCATTTAATTTTGATCTATTATGGAATAAAACAATGTTATTTTAACGATCGATTACTTTGGCCAAAGTCATCTCCATCACCGAAATTGGAGTTGTTAATACAAAAAATCTGTTTGTTAACTTCGCTCGTTTTGCTTTTTGTTTTTATTTATCCATCATTGTTCCATATTGGAAACTACGCCAATGATCATCAACAATTAACCAAAGCAGATTTGAAATATTCGGGAAATGATATCTTTGCTCGATTGTGGCAACATTCATTTTCATTGAGTAGTACTTTACATTTAATCATGAGTTTTCTTATCCTTATTTCAACTGTTCTTATTCATTCGAAACAAATTATGGTTGGAATCAAAGATGCCGGTACGAATTTTCGCTGATTTTTATGTAACAAATCATCCTTTCTTTGTTTTAGCTTTGTTATGGCGAACTGATTATGATTTGTTATTCGATTGGTCAATCTCTTCTTCACCTTCAATGTTCGTTTCCAAACGTTTAACATTTTCATCTGTAAATTCGTCGTCTTTGTCATTTTCCGTTGATTCCTATTCTCGTTTAAGTTTATTGAATTTTCTTTTCGCTTCGTTTGTCTGCATTCTTCGTGAACCATTCGTCTTCTGGTCAATTTCCAGAGTCTTCTCCATTCTCTATTCCTTCGCCATTGCTTTAAATGTTCTTCAATGGTGTTTAATGTACGGCGCATTACAATTATTATTAAAAAATCTTTGTTTTAATACAATTGAATCCCGACATAACATCGGATATCTCCTTTCTAATCAACCTTACACAACCTTTTTCCTCTATCTACTTTTGGAATTTCTTGTTTATATTTCTTCCATTACATTCTATTATTATGCATATAATCGTTTCAAATCATCATCTTACGATCGTTGCTCAAATTATTGTCCAAGTTTAATTGGAATCATTCTTTTATTATTATATACCGCATGTAAAATGCCACTTGTACATGATATATTTTTACTGTATATTCAAACGCGAGTTCGTCTTCTATTTCTAACTTTTATTTTTGAAATTGTTCATGTTTTATTAATTCTTTCTCTCTGGATTTTCTTAACAACAAAATTAAATTGGAATATTGATTATCAGGATGATTATCCATCGAAAGTGTATCATGGTTTAAACGTACAAAACACTCCCGGACAAGCAAAATCGTTGCCCGAATTGAACAAAGAAAAGCCTTATGAAAAAATTCGCATTTTTCAATCGGAAATCTATTATCACAACCATCCGAAGAACTGGAGTCTTCCATTAAATCAACATCCGTCAATGATGGCAGCATTTGATCATCACGATGATATTATCACGCGTTCACCATCGTATCCAATAAATCCAAATTATCATAATGAAATACAATATCGAAATGCCATTCGGAGAACTTTGACGAATCTAAATAATTCTCAACAGCAACAACAAACGAAAGCTGTGTTTTTACGAAGTAACACACCGCCAACACCACCTGTGAAACGATTTACGAAAGAACAAGTAGAAGCAGCTCGGCTAAGAGCGAAACAATTGATTCTCCAACAACAAAAAGCAATGGAATATACTCAACAGCGACACTCAGCAGCTTTACTTATTAGTCAAGTGTAATCGGCGATTTCTTTTTTCTCTCTATCCATTTTTTTATTACCAAACAGGTTTAATAAATTCTTTGTGTTTAACAATGGTTGTTTTTAATTTCGATTTTCTCGTAGTTGTACTCGTAAGAAATGTTTTCAATTCCAATAATTCATCATGTCGAATCCGCGTACCTTAAAAGAGAAGAAAGATACGGAGAAACTCGAATAGTTCATTTTTACCGTTACTGAGACAATGTTCAGAACTTGGTTTAGGACAACGATCGAGAAGGCCAATGTTAGGAAAACCTGGAAGAGAATTACATATTGAAGTGATTCTTTTCGTGTTCGTTTTACCGTATGGAAGTTTGGGTTTAAGAAAACAGAATTGCTCGAATATTCGAAGCTCTAAATCATCGTCTAAATCAAATGCATCATTTCGATCGTTGACAATCCAGGTATTTCTGGTTTGACTCATCTTCGGAAACAAAATAAACCATCGATTCTTCTTCATATCGATTTCTGTTGCTAAATAAAATCTCTTTTTTTTTTCTATAGGAAAATACTCCATAGTATGAATTACCATTGTCTGAAATAATCACACGGATTGAACGTGGAACATTTGCAGGCGGTTTACTTTTCTTGATCGTACAATAAACAATGAATTCAAACGTATTGTATTTTTCCGCACTGACGAAACTCTCCCAGTTAAATCGACCGAAGAGTATGGTGTCCGCATGTTTAACACGTGTTTCAAGAGTTGATTGCTCAATATGTAATAAAATCGCAACGTTGATTAATGAAAATAGCAGAGTCAGCGAAAAAGTTGATATCATCTGCATGAGTTCTTTCATAGAATATTAATTATGGTAATATGTTAGTAGGATTGTATTCTTTCGTCTATGGTGTATATTTATGTTCTACATGAGAAATGATGAAAGGGTGGGAAACCATCTGGACAAGAAGAGAAAAGAAAGCGAGAGTCTCTATACTACGAAGACAAATAAAAGAAGATTCTAATGTAAACATTCCCTTTCTCCTATATGTAATAGGAAACAATTGTTAGACAGATTGGTAAAGTCGTGCGCATTTAATCGCATGAAAGAGAATGACAATCAAACGGATATGGTATTGTTGTGACGAAGAAAATGAGAATGGATGTTGCATTGACTTTCGCGTATGATAACTTTTACGATTGAGAGGATAATAAGTTATATTGCGATCGTTATAAACTGTAATCTGAAGAATCACATACATTTTGAAGAGTTAGAATACTTCAAGCGAAGAGGAATCATCATTACAGGTATCAGTGACATCTACTGATATGTTGGAAAAAACTGATTTTTCGGTAACATAAATAAAATTTGTAGAGATTCTGTAGGTAAATTGAAATCACAATGATCTTTTGTTGATTAATGGATGTTGATATTACCACTGAACGCGTGGTTTGTTCGTTATCCTCTTCTTCTCCGTGTTTCGTTTAAAACATTCATTTACGTATATGAAGAACAAATCATGTCTGAACTTGGTCACTGTAGTGATTCGTCATGCACTGAAAAAAATGCTCGTCTTTTCGAATGTGTCCATCATTGTATGAAATTAGTTTGTCTTCAACATCTGATAGAACACGATCGATTGATTGATCATAGCCAAGAATATTTCGATGAACTTCGTGTGGAATTAAAACAATTATGGACAACTTATTCGACGTTTGTCGATGAAATGAAACTTCGTTTAGAATACGAACAAAAACTCAAAAACCACCAAAAATTAATAGAAGATGTAACGAATCTATGGGAGTCGAATTCGAATGATATCGAAGGGTATCGAATAACGATTGATAAACTTCGACAGTATATCGAACAGGAAAAATTATTCAATGAAGATTGTTTAGTACTCGAAGTGAAAAGTGAACCAATCGAAGATGTTGAAACGATCGAAAAACTTGGTAGGAATCAAGGCGAACCACGCACTCATTCGTTTGTCTCTTTATGTAGATTCAATGGATTTCGATATGACTTTACAAACACATAGGTAAAGACAATTTTGTAGTTGCATGGAATAAAAACAAGCGTTATTTGATTTTGTTAGATTCACCAGTGATAATTCATTACGAAAACAAAAACTATTCAAAGAAAGTACGTCCCACCGGATGAAAACCGATTGCTAATAGAAATCTTCATTTCTCTTCAGATTCAATCGACTATGATCCGATGATGTAAAACAATGTTTGTTATCTAAGTTCTCATTCTGACTGTATCTTTTAGTGAAAATACTATTGAAGAAAGCGTAAAGAATCCGTCGGTAAGTCCAATTGGAAAATACTCATTTCAACTTTGTTATCTTGTGCATACTTAGAATCAAGCTCGACTAACTGGACGATTTGCTAGTCAATGTCCATTTTGGCTTGATGGTGCATTTGGTTTAACAAAAGAGTCGCATGGAATGTATTTATGTATACAAGGCAAATGTTATCGAAATATTTTCGATCATTTATTTAAATTTCATCGTTTTACTCTCTCAACTGCAGAGAAACTTCGTCATGCGATTATGAACAACAAAGATCCTTCTAAAACAAAACTATTTCGATCAGATGAGTCTGTTATCGATCGAATTAGTTACATTTTCTGTCCGTTTAGTGATAACAATCCTTCACCAATGAAAACAATCAAATCATCAATTAAGAGATGCCGATCGAGAAAGCCTCACGCCAGATATGAATTACGTACACATATGATGAATACTCATCGAATGAGCATACTGAAAGCTGATAAACTTATCTGTAAATTAGAAGTGTCTACTAAACAGTCAACAAAATAAAACATTTACTGAATATTTTCTTTGTGTATTATCCGTAGTTTTGTCTTTTCTTTTTGTTTTCAAGATAAATCATGTCGGAAACTTCCGGTCAATGTGAAGATGAGTCGTGTTCGAAACAGTCGAATAAGATTAGCCGCGTTTTCCCATGTTTGTATCACTGTAAGAAAATGTTATGCATTGAACATCTGTCGGAACACGATAAATATATCGAAAAACAATTACAATATCAAAATCAATTGGAAGGTTTATGGAAAACGTACCGTGTAATGTTCAACGAAGAGAAAATCGAAGAAGAATATTTAAAATTGAAAACAAAATTGGAAAAATTTCGACAACTAGGCAACGAAATCGAGCGTTTGCTACTGATGAAAAACTTTCATGATTCTATGGAAAATAACCAAAAATTACAAGTAGCTGTTCAAATAGTGAAAAAAGCCATTGAAGAAGATAATCGAGAGGAGGTGATTATGCGTAAGTGACTTACCTGAACAAAAGCTTAATTTGTTTTTTTTTCGACGTTTTTCAGAAACTGTACTACCAAAAAGCGAATTTGACGAAGAGAATAGCCATGCACTTGTTAATTTCGGTATGTTCAAAGTTGTTTGTCTTTTCTTATTTAGATTATCTATTCTAGGATCATTGTCTTCACCAGATGCATCAAACGATGGTAAGCACAAATAACCAATACACAGTTTTAAAATCTATGTATTTAGGTTCTGAAACCGGCGATTCGTTTCCTTTGTTTTCAAATACTGATCGAAATTCACCGTAAGTTAAAAGATTATGTTCGTTATTACAATATTTCTTTCATTCAAATTTTAAGTACGAGCGTTCAAGACGATGAGTATGGTCAAAATATGGATGAATGTAATGATTATTTCTTGTTGTTCAACATTCGTGTAACGAGTAGTCCTTTGTTCATTTTTTAGATGATGAACAAGAAAATAATGTGGAATCTGAAGATGAAGACAATCTTATGGATGAAACCACTTTCAGGTAATCAACAGGCAATTCATTCGATTCTTTTCAAAGTGACTGTTTGTTTTTTTTTCTAGACAGGCAAATACATGCGAAAATAACGTCACCGTACGTATTTCAGGCAGCCATTTTCAATGATATATTGTTCGATTGGTATATGTTTTAGCCACATCGAGGTATTGTCGCATCAAAAATTCGTGATTTTTGTCCTTTAACATATAATGGTGCCTTCGGTATTAATTCTCAAGCTCACGGTGTACGTTTATGTCCTCAGAAGTCTCTTGAACATCGACGTACTTATCGATTGAATGAACACTTTCGTCGTGTTCATCATCTAACCGGATTTGCATCATTGGCCCTAGCGCGCGCAGTTGGCGCTGGTAAAGACCCGACAACAACCTGTTTATTTAGCGATCACGATATCATTCTTAATATTGATGAATTACGTACTATTAATTGTCCAATTACTCAACCATTTGTTCATCATCGTTTACTGCAAATTGAAAACTCGCCATGTAGTGCAATTAAACAAGTTCGACAATTGCGGGAACATCTCAAACGTTCGCATAAATTCACCAGTCGAGCAGCAAAGATGATTGTCAAAGCAGTGAAAAGTGATATCCCTGTTCATATGTTACAGTTCCCTAAATGGATCGATGTTATTGAAGATTAAAATCTTTTTATATTCTCTTTTATTGTCCTTTTCGTTTTGTTCTGTACATATTTCTATGCAAAGATTTTACATGAATGAACAAATGTTGAAATACAATTCGATTAACACAGCGTAGATTGTCTTCTTTGATCACTTCATCATGCTATCTTATGGTGAACATTGATTGGCAAAAGCAAAACTCGGATAAGAAACAAATGATGTGAATCGATCCATCGTTGACAAAATGATCAGCAAAATTGCTCACTAATAGAACGTTGCATGGAGTAGCTAATGATTATTCGGCATCACCCACAATCAGCTGCATTGCTTCACTTATTCAGCAGAATAGAACATTGGTATTTTTAATGCTACTATCAGACCAAAAATTACTTTGAACTCTCTACTACTATTTGTAATGCTAAGGTTCTTTGGAAAACGGTCAGAAGATATGTGTAACTAGTTGAGGCTATTGATTCATCAGAGCGGCTGTGATAGTCCCGATTGAATCTTGTAATTCTGTGATAACTTCATGTGTTCCCGGAAAGATTTTTGTAAATATATTCAAAGAAAGATGAAAATATTTCAAAGCCAACTGATAATCAATTAATGATTCAGCATAAATATCGCCTATTTTTCTATACAATTGGCCCAATTCACGATGATCGTCTGGTAGAGATTCCGATTTGATTTGACGCGCAGATTGATACGATTCTAATGCATGACCATAATTCTTCATGAGCATGTGGAGATCTCCAATAGATTCATAAGTTTTACCCAACTTTGGATGGCTTTTGGGTAAGACTTTCAAATCAATAAGTAAACTTTCGTTTAAAATATTTAATGACTCATCAAACCGTTCTTGTACTCGTAAAATATTGGAGATGTTTTCATGCGTTTTGGTACGAGCCAAATCATCACTTTCATCAGTCCGAATGTTTTTTGCTTGAAGATCATTTAAAATTCTATCGAAATCAACTGGTTTACTACGATCAGCATATCGATTTAATAAACTATGTAAAATTTCAATTTTCGGACCGTCCCAATGTGAATTTTCTTTAATCTTCATTTCTATCGATATTCTAAGATAATGTTTTCTGCTAATGATTGATCCTCTTTCATCCAAGCTACTATTGCCAATTTATCATAGACAATTGCGAGATCTTTTGTGTTTTCCGCTGCTAAATTTTTCAAATACCGTTGGTAGAATGCTTCTGCCTTATCCAATCGTCCCATATCGAGTAAAATATTTCCAACTGACAAAAGATTCGTTTTCAGGTCGACAACTTCTTGTTTTAAGACACGAAATAATTCATTTAGTTCATCATTTCTTTCGTCACATAAAACCAGTTTGATAATCCAAACATTATCCTCATAAAACACTCCGGTCATTTTGAAAACAATGCCAATCATGAATAAAACTTCCTCTTCGCTACTAAATTGACTCAAATGGTTTATATCAGCAAATGGTTGAGTAACGAAAGGTGCAGTGATGTCTGATTCGATATCAAAGAGTACTACTTGCTGAGATGAATCGTTACTTTCAAAGCTTTGAATGAACATAAGACTGATTTGTTTGTTTTTACTCGTTGAAAAAAATGTATTAATTGATATGTACTTCCCTTGACTTAATTTCAAAACTTCAAATTCATCCCGGGACAGTTTTTGTCCTCTATATGTGTGTAAAACCTTCTCTAAAGGTACACTTGAACTTTGCTCTTCTAATTTCATTAAATATTTTATTTGTTCAGTTTCTAATTGATCATAAATGTCCCGAATGAGAAAACGAAATGCAAATACCGTATCGATATCTTGTATACGCAATGCTCTGTTGATAACTTGATATAGAAATGGTTCTTTGGTGTACCACATAACCGCATCTGTTGATCGATACGTTCGTTTGAATTCAGAAATTTTCGTACATTGAACAGAATTTTCTTGATATTGTTCGTTCAAGAGAATGAATGTTTCTTCTAATGATGTTTCGACATCCTGTTCAGTTAGTTTTAAAAGAGTGGCCATAAATAATTTCGACCATAAAACATAACCATCCAGTTTATGATGACTTTGCTCTTTTGTGGAACCGGGAAAAGAAAGAATCGTTGTTGGTAACGTATGTTCATATCTGTCGTATTTGACTTGATCTTCAGAAATTCTGCGAATCAATTCATCAGGTTCATTTATGACAGATTGGACCTATATAAGTCAATTAAATATGCTTTGAATTCAAATTTTGTTGAATACGTATATTTCGAAGTTTACTTTTGAATAATTTTCTTTCCAATTCATGTCGTTTGTTTGCCAGATATCATAAATATAAACAACAATTATTTGCTGTAAATGATGCATTTTAGATAAAATGACTTGAGCGATTTCACCGGATAAAATAAGGAAAATTTTCTCGTTGTTATTGTTCTCGATGTATTTAATACATTCTTCGATATTGTCGATGGTCAGAAGAAAATTAATTACTTGTCGTAGTTTGTCAAATATATCTTCATCGATTCTATTTGAATGTAGTGTCGTGTTGCAACACCAAATAAGAACAAATGATTCCAAATTACGTCTCAAATATTTGCAATTTGGTGCAGAGAACCTGTCATTTGATGGCAATTGATCTTTGTTCATGATGTTATATGATTTTGAAAGCATGCACTTTCCAGTGGTTGTCAATGAGAGTACTGCGTTTTCTCTGTAGAGGTGAAATAAACAGAATGTTTGTTTTGTTGTTGCTACGACAATGAATCCATCATCAGACTTTGAAAGAAGAAAAAACTGTTCGGCGATTTGAGACGAGAACAATGGTGAGAGAGTCTTGTTTTGCAATAGGTGCACAATTGTCTTTCTATTACTTCATGTCAATACTTTTATATGCTGATAGGACAATTTTTCCTATGTGTTGTTGTTAAAATCAAAAACGATTATCTTTCTGTTGATTTTAGTATGACTTAAAGAGACCAAATATCTATCATATATTTCTTTTGCAATTTAAAAAATAGTTTTTTAATTGACGCGATTTCCAAAATTCAATAAATGACTGACAAGCTCAAAAGCTACGGAAAAGAGTGATGATTGATCAATACCCATCGTGAGAACGTATTTTTCAAGCAGTTATTCTTGTATCAAAAGCTTTGTTTCCATGAGAGCGCGTTATCCTAACCACATACAATATCAGCTCGTAGTACATTTGACTGAGTTGCAACAGTAGTCAGGAGATAATCATTGGTTCTGCATTTATATAAAACAAATGCACTGTTTGTTCACTCAAATGGCGTTGTATTATACGATGTGGGTATTATCGACTCTGCCAGAAGAGTTATTGTATCATTCGGTTTTTCTTCGTAACTCATATATATAATTGTTTCAGCGGAAGATAATGAAAGAGCTATTTCCGTTCTACAAATATCACTCAGCCGTCACACTTGCTGATTGTTTTCTGTATTCTGGAATGGTTGTCGGGCAACAAAGTATAAAAACACTCATCATTGACTGCGTAAAACAGTGCCTGTTGTGGTCTAATTTTAAGTGATAGTCGACCGAAATACAAGTAGATTGTGTGTACCGTTCGTTTTCATTTCAGAAAAAATATCTTTCCTATTTCCTGCTTCGTATGCGCTCTGGTATGTCACACGCCCGTATGAACAACTCCGTCATTGTTGTTCTCATCGGACACGAGAAAAAAATTCACAGTTTTCAAATAAATTTATTTTAAGACAAGAATTTCTATGCATTTATGCTCTAAAATATTAATAGAAATTCAACATAGGTGGACGATTATTCAGATTACTTTGTATTTTAATAAATTTGTGTAACATTAAATTGTTTTTCGACATGCCCTTCTAGTCTCACGCTTATTCGGTGTTCTGGATGTCATCTTTTACTTCCAATCAGAAGTTTTACGTGACTGAGTGACGATTTGAGGTGCAAATTCATTGATCATTACCGAGATTTCTTATGGTTAAAACGGATTTGACAGTCGAAGAAAAGCTTTTTAGAGCCGACGACGTTCGAAATCGGCTGTCAAAAACTAATGATTGATCAGCAAAAATAAGAAAAACTAGAATAAGGAAAAAAGCAAGACATCCGGTATGGAAAACAAAACGACTAAAAAAACAATAACACCATTAATCGTAATGCTTGACATTATCCAAATCATGTCCTTGAACAGGAGTCGATGACTTGTTTGCACGGCAATCTTATGCAAATCATTGTCAGTATTTGTTAATGTCTTTTCAAAATACAATCGTTTAGCCGTCACAGCAGTCAACAAGACAATCATCAAATCCATTATTCATGATGAACATTTTTCTTTTCTTCCATTTCAGTATGTTAACTATTTCTTCTATGAAAAATAGGAAATGCGTGCCTTTAGCGGGTTGTGGAGGCGTAATTTATTGAAACGCTTCGTCTATATAAATCGAGCTCCTTTGTTTTTCCTGACAAAGACCAGCAATCGCGATTATTCATTCCATTCAAATAGCCATGGCCGCTCCAATCAATGGCACATCGAAACCATCATTTCGTAAAAGTTATTCAATCGAGTATGGATACAAACCACGAAAACGAACATTAATTGCTGATGCAGAATTCGATCGAGAACAGCATGATGAAGTTCAACATAAAATTCAGCAAATAATTATCGATAACGAAGGACAAGCGGAATGTGAATATACGATATTAGTAACATTGAAAGATAAACAAAGTGCATCGATTTTAAATTTGATTAACACTTTCAATCGTGATGGACTTAAGGTTAATCATATGGAAACTCGACCAGCAGCTACTTCACCTACAAATAGCGAGGCACCAAAGGGTAAGAGATTTCAAAAAATCTCGATGTTCATCCCATATGAATGTACTTAGGTTTGGATGTTTTCATGGAAGTTGTTTGCACAGATAAACTTATGGACGATCTTAAACGAGTTTTGTTCCAGTCAAATTCGAAATTTATCGTTAAGAACATTAAGGCACATGCCCGTTCATCATCTACGTCTTCATCAGGTCAAGATTCAAAAGACGGCAATGCCAAACCCGCTGCAGATGATACCATTTGGTTTCCAATGTCGATCTGGGATTTGGATAAATGTCACCATTTACTAACACATTACCAACCTGATATGGATTCTCGTCATCCTGGCTTCTCCGATAAAGCATATCGAGCACGACGAGAACATATCGCGAATGTTGCATTTACATATCGGTATGGTAATCCTATACCAATAGTTGAATACACACCAGATGAAGTCAAAACATGGGCGTAAGGCGATTACTTTAGAAAAGATAGAATACAATTTTCGACTTATGAATAGATTGATTTACCGGCAATTGAAAAAATTATATCCCACAACGGCATGTCAACAACATGTTCATGTCATTAACATTTTGGAGAAAGAAGGTGGCTTTTCGGAGGCAGCAATTCCACAATTAGAGGATGTTTCACGTTTTATGAAACGACGATCTGGCTTTCAACTTCGTCCTTGTGCAGGTGAGTCGAAAATTATTCCGTAAATCTATCGATATCATTCGATTCATTGTTTAGGTCTATTATCGGCTCGTGATTTTCTTGCTAGTTTAGCATTTCGAGTATTTCAATGTACTCAATACATTCGACATCCTTCATCACCACTTCATTCACCAGAACCCGGTAAGATATGCAATCACTTACAGATTTCATCATGTTTTACTCGATTGCTATTGAAGATGTTGTGCATGAACTCCTTGGTCATGTTCCACTTCTATCAGATCCAAGTTTTGCGCAGTAAATAATCACATTTCATTGGCATCAAATCTGACAAGTTCTTCCCTTTAGGTTTTCACAAGATATAGGTTTAGCATCATTGGGTGTCAGTGATGATGATATCGTTAAACTCTCGACACTCTACTGGTTTACAGTTGAATTTGGTCTATGTCGTGAAAATGGACAAGTTCGAGCGTATGGCGCAGGTTAGTCATGAACATCTACGTATTCATTGATTTAACTTGATGATTTTCATCAGGGCTTCTTTCTTCGTTCGGAGAACTTCAACATGCACTATCATCGAAACCTGAAGTCAAACCATTCGAACCGGCAACAACTGTTCTTCAAGAATATCAAGGTTTACCTAATGATTCATTATCTTCTGTCTTACTGAGAATCTTTGATTTGTTTAGATGAAGATTATCAACCGATTTATTTCTTAGCTGAAACATTCGAAGATGCGAAACAAAAATTACATATTTTTGCAAAATCATTAAAACGTCCGTATGATTTGGTCTACGACGCTCACACACAATCCTTACATATTCTGGATAATATGAAAGTCATCCATGATCTCAGTGCCCAATTAAAACAAAACATGGATGTGCTTGAACACGCACTTAATCGTCTCAACGAAAACGGAATCAACTTTCGAGTTATTTCATAAACAGAACGTTAAAACAAGATAAATACCAAGTGTGCTTTGTTTTTTTCCTCCATTTTATTTAGCCAAAATAAATCTAGATGTTCAATACAACTATCCATTATTCATCGAAATACACTATAAAAAAAAATGTTCTTGTTCTTTTCAGGCATAAGATTCGTTGACACCATTTTCTTATGTCCGTACATTTATGCGCATGAAACGTTTAAAGATGAAAGAAGTATATTTCTATCAACATTTGACTTGACACACACCGGTCGTTCGACTGATATCGACACCTCATAATGCACACGGGACGGCGAGTTTCAGAAGCAAGCGAAAAATGACATATGGTGTTAAAAGTCGTAAAAAAATGAATTTTTTATTTTTTAACTCATCCCAACGATAAAAGAACAAACGTGAATAGTCAAATATCGTCATAGAAAACGGTTAATTCGTGTCTTTGAAAGATTTTTTTTCTATAATAAGCGCATGTACGCTCTGATCGTCACAGCCAGTGTTCATCCCGATCTCTAATTAGCCTAAAGTTTGAAATGAAACATCTCTCTAATTGAACAAGTGCGCGTCCAAACACCTCAAACAGGTCGAAACTCAGTAGGTGGTCACCAATGATGACTAGTTACACTTTTTTTTTGTTTTTACCGCATACGTAAACTTATTGATCCATAAACTTTTTTTTCTCTCTTCAAGGGTGATGATAGTGGCTCGAGGCAGCGTTAAAAAACATTGGGTGTGGACATGTGAAAGGAACAGCATAAAATGTTATACAATTAAAACGATGTTTTCGTTAACACTATAATTTTATGAGGGAAAACTAACTGTATGAGAATGAGATCATGCATAAGAGATCAAATGATGAACGATTATGTGTAAATATTCGAATAGAAGCAAATCTTCCTACTTTGATGTGCATTTATATCTGTATACAAAAGGAAATAATCGATCAGATGATATCCAAACTCAGCAGGTGACTTGATCTATCTGTTGGGACAGTCTGTCTACTAATAATCAATTTTTGGTTATTACTCTATTCTTCGAAGGTGCCAAACCGATCACAATTAGTCTGCTTATGCATGNAATCGGGCTCCTTTGTTTTTCCTGACAAAAACCAGCAATCGTCATTATTCATTCCATTCAAATAGCCATGGCCGCTCCAATCAATGGCACATCGAAACCGTCATTTCGTAAAAGTTATTCAATCGAGTATGGATACAAACCACGAAAACGAACATTAATTGCTGATGCAGAATTCGATCGAGAACAGCATGATGAAGTTCAACATAAAATTCAGCAAATAACTATCGATAACGAAGGGCAAGCGGAATGTGAATATACGATATTAGTTACATTGAAAGATAAACAAAGTGCATCGATTTTAAATTTGATTAACACCTTCAATCGTGATGGACTTAAGGTTAATCATATGGAAACTCGACCAGCAGCTAGTTCACCGACAAATAGTGAAGCACCAAAGGGTAAGAGATTTGAAAACTCTCGATGTTCATCTAATATGAATGTGCTTAGGTCTGGATGTTTTCATGGAAGTTGTTTGCACAGATAAACTTATGGACGATCTTAAACGAGTTTTGTTCCAATCGGATTCGAAATTTATCGTTAAAAACATTAAGGCACATGCCCGTTCATCATCTACGTCATCATCAGGTCAAGATTCGATAGACAGCAATGTCAAACCTGCTGCAGATGATATCATTTGGTTTCCAATGTCGATCTGGGATTTGGATAAATGTCACCATTTACTGACACATTACCAACCTGATATGGATTCTCGTCATCCTGGCTTCTCTGATAAAGCATATCGAGCACGACGAGAACATATCGCGAATGTTGCATTTACATATCGGTATGGTAATCCTATACCAGTAGTTGAATACACACCAGAGGAAGTCAAAACATGGGCGTAAGGCGATTACTTTAGAAAAGATAGAAATACAATTTTCGACTTATGAATAGATTGATTTACCGGCAATTGAAAAAATTATATCCCACAACGGCATGTCAACAACATGTTCATGTTATTAATATCTTGGAGAAAGAAGGTGGCTTTTCGGAAGCAGCAATTCCACAATTAGAAGATGTTTCACGTTTTATGAAACGACGATCTGGTTTTCAACTTCGTCCCTGTGCAGGTGAGTGGAAAATCATTCCATAAATCAATCGATACAATTCGATTCATTGTTTAGGTCTGTTATCGGCTCGTGATTTTCTTGCTAGTTTAGCATTTCGAGTATTTCAATGTACTCAATACATTCGACATCCTTCATCACCACTTCATTCACCAGAACCCGGTAAGATATGCAATCGTCTACAGATTTCATCATGTTTTACTCGATTGCTATTGAAGATGTTGTGCATGAACTCCTTGGTCATGTTCCACTTCTATCAGATCCAAGTTTTGCGCAGTAAATAGTCACATTTCATTAGCATAAAATCTGACAAGTTCTTCTCTTTAGGTTTTCACAAGATATTGGCTTAGCGTCATTGGGTGTCAGTGATGATGATATCGTTAAACTCTCGACACTCTACTGGTTTACAGTTGAATTTGGTCTATGTCGTGAAAATGGACAAGTTCGAGCGTATGGCGCAGGTTAGTCATGAACATCTACGTATTCATTGATTTAACTTGATGATTTTCATCAGGGCTTCTTTCTTCGTTCGGAGAACTTCAACATGCACTATCATCGAAACCTGAAGTCAAACCATTCGAACCGGCAACAACTGTTCTTCAAGAATATCAAGGTTTACCTAATGATTCATTATCTTTCGTCTTACTGGGAATCTTTTATTTGTTTAGATGAAGATTATCAACCGATTTATTTCTTAGCTGAAACATTTGAAGATGCGAAACAAAAATTACATATTTTTGCCAAATCATTAAAACGTCCGTATGATTTAGTCTACGACGCCCACACACAATCCTTACATATTCTGGATAATATGAAAGTCATCCATGATCTCAGTGCCCAATTAAAACAAAACATGAATATGCTTGAACACGCACTTAATCGTCTCAACGAAAACGGGATCAACTTTCGAGTTATTTCATAAACAGAACATTAAAACAAGATAAAAACCGAGTGTGCTTTGTTTTTTTCCTCCATTTTATTTAGCCGAAATAAATCTAGATGTTCAATAGAACTGTCCATTATTCATTGAAATACACCACAAAAAAAATGTTCTTATTCTTTTCAGGCATAAGATTCGTTGACACCATTTTCTTATGTCCAAACATTTATGCGCATGAAACGTTTAAAGATGAAAGAAGTATATTTCTATCAACATTTGACTTGACACACACCGGTCGTTCGACTGATATCGACACCTCATAATGCACACGGGACGGCGAGTTTCAGAAGCAAGCGAAAAATGACATATGGTGTTAAAAGTCGTAAAAAAATGAATTTTTTATTTTTTAACTCGTCCCAACGATAAAAGGACAAACGTGAATAGTCAAATATCGTCCCAGGAAACGGTTAATTCGTGTCTTTGAAAGATTTCTTTCTATAATAAGCGCATGTACGCTCTGATCGTCACAGTCAGTGTTCATCCCGATCTCTAATTAGTCTAAAGTTTGAAATAGAACATCTCTCTAATTGAACAAGTGCGCGTCCAAACACCTCAAACAGGTCGAAGCTCAGTAGGTGGTCACCAATGATGACTAGTTACACGTTTTTTTGTTTTTACCGCATACGTAAACTTATTGATCCATAAACGTTTTTTTCTCTCTTCAAGGGTGATGATAGTGGCTCGAGGCAGCGTTAAAAAACATTGGGTGTGGACATGTGAAAGGAACAGCATAAATGTTATACAATTAAAACGATGTTTTCGTTAACACTATAATTTTATGAGGGAAAACTAACTGTATGAGAATGAGATCATGCATAAGAGATCAAATGATGTACGGTTATGTGTAAATATTCGAATAGAAGCAAATCTTCCTACTTTGATGTGCATTTATATCTGTATACAAAAGGAAATAATCGATCAGATGATATTCAAACTCAGCAGGTGACTTGATCTATCTGTTGGGACAGTCTGTCTACTAATAATCAATTTTTGGTTATTACTCTATTCTTCGAAGGTGCCAAACCGATCACAATTAGTCTGCTTATGCATGCAGTGCATAAAACGATGAACGAGATCAATCATTTGTTCTCTACGTTTCCACGAACGTAATATTAGCGAGAGCAATTGTGCGTAAAATAGAGTTCGAGTTGAATTAATCTTTAATGTATATGCGAAGTCAAGCATAGAAAATAATCTTTTCTTTTTTATTTCGCATCGAACTCAATCGATTTTACTTTCCTTGAATGTATTTCATGATCCATTTATCCATTTTCTTGCCGACATATTTGTCCGAGATTGAGAATTTCGATCGCAAACAACATTGTCAAACATATTGAACCTCTTTTTGTATTTTCTCGATTTGAAAATGTTCTCAATACGCGTGGACACAAGGTCACGAATATTCTTATGATATAATGAACGATTAAATTGACACATTTTCTAAACCTTTTAATTCTTTTCATTCGTCTAATAACCGACAGGATCAAAGCATTTGAAAGAGTGTTAAAAACAGCACCAATAGGAGCCGATCGCAGAAAAAGATAGCTTTAAGCAGCAAGTAACTTGTTGATTCCAATATTCAGCATCAGATATTGATGTCAAAGAGATGCGGAATAAATATTGATCGTCTGATAAAACGAACTAATTCTCATAGAAAACAAAAAGTATCTCTTAGCACATGAAGGTCCACCACGACTCTAATTGATTAAACTTCGAAAATTAGCTGTCGCTCTTTACACTTACACATATTTCTTCTATTCGAATATTTACACATAACCGTACATCATTTGATCTCTTATGCATGATCTCATTCTCATACAGTTAGTTTTTCCCTCATACAATTATAGTGTT